GGACATGAGTTATTATAATTTCCCCAGATATTTTGCTGAGCCTCGGGTAGCTACTTTAGTTAAGTCCCTTCCCTATTCATATGACATACACCCCAAAAAGAAATGGTTTACCAGGGGACTTACACTTACTGTACACACATATATATATATATGGGAACATAGAATGAGGGTGTCTAATATTATGGGGATAGGATTATGCTTGAGTAGTTTCATGCATGGGAATATGTTGACCAATCCAGAATCCAGCCCCGCAAAAAATGGCAGGGTATTTAAGATTGATTGATTTGATGTTTCAAGCTCAACTCATACACGTGTTTGTTCACGTTATTTGTTTGTTAGGATCGGTAATTTGGGGTACCCTTTGGTAAACTCACACAACTATGGATCATCACCATTTTCATATGTCAATCAACTATAAATGACCATTTTCAATAGCTGTGTTAGTTTACCAGAGGCTACTTGGAGCTCCCGAAAGGCTTCTCAGAAATAGCTGTGGTGGCTTCACTATGGTAATTACTGAAGATTCCCTAAACAACAAATTCCGTGGGACTGGGGGAAGCATCTATTTCTGATTGTTTTGGGTTCCAGATAACCAATCTTTTGCTGCAAGTCTTCAACACCCCCAGCGCCCAGGGCGACAAGGGCTAGGTTGGCTCTCCAAGTGTTCTATTTTGGTTTAGCAACAACTGCTTACCAATAGGAAACAGTGAAGACATGTGGAAGATCCATTGTTTGGTTGGCGCATGATTTGGAACTTGGCAGCCTGGCAATGGGCTGTCTCATTTGTCTCAAAATTGGGGACTTCAAATCGGCAAAAGGATTATGAATTATGGAGTTTGGCATCTCAATTTCAATGCTCAGTCCAATTATAAACCATTGTTCAGTTAGGGAGTTTACCAAAGGATAGTGGTACAATATGTGATGCGTCTCATTAAAACAATCATTTTGGGGAGTCTTTTAGAGTTTGAGACAAAGCCAAAATGAAGGAAATTGATGTGTTTCTTTAGTGAATGAAATCCACATGATCTTAACAAAATCAGCATCTCTTTCCGATTTGTATCGAAGGTCATGCCCCTGGTTGGGTAAGTTTGTTTCTTATTCAACTGACTGGATTTATGGTGAGTACAACTATAGTTCTATAAGATTTTACTAGTTATATAGATGGGTTTACATACACCCACGCACCTAGGGGGCACAACTTCGTACTAAATTCCCATGAAATTATGTCCATTCATAACCAACTTTTCATGGTGAGAGTAACGTGGCTTATTTTCCATTTTTATAGCTAAGTTGTCCATAATCCCAAGATATTCCCAAGACGTTGATCCATTTTAGTGGTGCCCTCTGGTCATCTCAAAAAAGCTATTGAAATTGGCACCATTTGTAGTCGGTTTACCTATTAATAGCATGATGATTTTCCAGTTCGCAAACTGTTAACGTTTACCAGGCTGGGTAACTTCTCATGAAATTTCCCAATCGCAATCGCGCGGATTTCAGGCTTTCTTCTACCAGCAAGCGGACGACCATTTCCAGCAACGGTGGAAGGCTTCTGCAGCTTCATGGTGGAACGTGAGCGCATTCGCCTGCGGCGTGCAAGAGGTGCACCGTGGTGCACCGCTGCCGGGTTTTGATGGCTTTAGATTGGCACTGGCAAAATCAGATTTCAGATGATTGCATCCATGTGCATGATGGGGCCCCCAAGATAGCGTTCAGTTGCCTTATAAGTGGCTGAATTCTATCGTTTATGGTAGATATAACATGATATAACTATATAGTTAATGGGTTTATAAACCAGCAAACATCACTGGGGGGGCACCATCGATGTGGCTGGGGGTACCCCCCAAAAAAGTGATGAATCAATATTTAAGTTGATACTCCCCCTATCGGATGCCCAGGAATCGCAATATGTGAATGGGTAACGCGAGAAAAAAACCTAGCTGGGCAAGACCATACGAAGACTGTACGCTTAAAGTTATAAGACTTTACAGACTTAGCCTAGATATACAGAAGTTAAAGGATTTATGTTGGAAGTTAGCATGACTTATCAAAAAGATAAAAGGAAGTTATGTTAACTTTAATAACTTATTTGTAAGTTTTGTCTTAACTTTTTATAACTTCTGCTAACTTTTTATAACTTCTGCTAACTTTTTATAACTTTTCATAACTTTTTGTAACTTTTTTGTATATTTTTATACTTTTGAAAGTCTTTGCCTTGGTTTCCGACCACGTGGATTTTATAACTGTCTTGTTTCTGAAAGAACTTTCAGATATGATATCCTTTTTTTGAATCGACGAAGTGATGTGAAAGCGTTTCAGTTATGTATGTTTCAGGAATCATGACACCTGAGGCGATATGTTTTTTTTTGTGATATCTCTGTCTGTATTTTTGGATCTGGAAATAAGTTTAGTTGGCGATATGTTTTTTTTTTGTGATATCTCTGTCTGTATTTTTGGATCTGGAAATAAGTTTAGTTGCAACTGAACTATAGCGGAACTATAGCGGAACTATAGTGGAACTATAGCGGAACTATAGCGGAACTATAGCGGAACTATAGCGGAACTATAGCGGAACTATAGCGGAACTATAGCGGAACTATAGCGGAACTATAGCGGAACTATAGAACTATAGCGGAACTATAGCGGAACTATAGCGGAACTATAGCGGAACTATAGCGGAACTATAGCGGAACTATAGCGGAACTATAGCGGAACTATAGCGGAACTATAGCGGAACTATAGCGGAACTATAGAACTATAGCGGAACTATAGCGGAACTATAGCGGAACTATGGCGGAACTATAGCTGAACTATAGCTGAACTATAGCTGAACTATAGCTGAACTATAGCTGAACTATAGCTATCTAGGTACATTTATAGGGGAAAGGTATCAAATCGACGAATTAATCCTTTTCAGAAACTGTCTTCTCAGACCGAATCCTTCTCAGGAATTGTCATTTCAAACTCTTTCCTTTGCAGGAACTGTCTTCTCAGACCGGATCCTTCTCAGGAACTGTCTTCTCAGAAAATTTGCCTGCGAACAACATCGTTTCCACAAACAGAAAGATTGTTTCACCCTGTATAAATGTTGACAAGCTTTGTCACAAACTTAATGAAACTCTCGAAAAATGTAAAATAAATAAACATTTTCATTGCCCTCTTGTAAACATATTTTTAACTTTATGTACCTTTATACTAACTTTTTGTAACTTTTTATAACTTTTTATAACTTTTGTTAACTTTCAGATAACTTATGATAACTTTTCCTACATACTTATGTTAAGTCTGTTAACATAGTTATAAAAAGAAAACATGCAGTTAAGATACTTACGATAAGTTCATTAACCATTTATATTTTACCTAAACATTTACAACTTCTCGTAGCCGGCTAGCTAAACTTACAAATTACTTATCAAATGTTATGACACTTTACATACTTGCAAGCAGGTTATAGACATGTTGTAGAAGGTTTATATACATGTTGTAACTCGTCTAAATCTGTAAACTCATATAACTTCCAGCGTACAGTCTTCGTATTGACAAATCCCCAAATCCCCAAAGGATTGGTTTCTGTTGGAAATTCTTTGCTGAATCCAAAATTTTTGGTGAAATCTCCGATGTTTGCTGCTTCGAGATCTCATTTCGGGTGGTGAAAACTCAGTGAACTCCCCAAGTTTTGCTGCCTCTGCGGGCTGCGGTTCGGGGCCTCTGGGGCCAGGCGACCCGTGGCCTTGGACCAGTGATGTCATCCTGAAGCATTTGCGCGTCAGGAGCTGAATGCTGACCGGGTCAAAGCCCTAGAAAAAGGTACGTCCAGGTACCCTAAAATAGCTGGTTAATGGATGTTGATGGATGGTGATTTGGAACATTTGGATTATTTTTCCATAATATATGGGAATAATTCCAATTGACTTTCATATTTTTCAGAGGGGTAGGTATACCACCAACCAGATGTTAATGGATGGTTATTCCCCCAAATATGGTAAATAATAGGTTTTGACCCATCGTTCATATCTTAGATCATAGCAAACTGTTAGTTTGCCAGAGGGTATATCCCACTAAGTGGATTATAATACCATTAAATTCCTATCTGGTTGGTGGTGACTTAACCATCTTGAAAAATATGAAAGTCAGTTGGGATTATTCTTCCAATGTATTGCATAGTTGAACAGTAATTATCCATGTTTGATTCTAATTGGATGTAAACAATCAGATTATATAAATTGTGAATGGCTGAGTGCTACATATGGAGGTTTCCCAAAATTCGGGGGTACCTCAAAATCGATGGTGTATAGTGGAAAACATGATTAACATGGATGGTACCCCCATTTTAAGAAACCTCCACAATTTAGAAATACATGTTTTACATGATTATAGTCATAGTGCAAACCTCCAATTGGAGGGTGATGCGTGAGTCACATAATCATTTGATCATCTAATATGAATAATTATGAGTAAACATTGAACAGTAAACCGAACAATTGAATAGTGTAATACCGATCCAGAATCAGTCATATAGTAATAGTAGTAATGTAAAAGTTACACTATTCTACTGATATCCGATAACATACTGGTATATACTTGTTCGTAAAACTGAATTTTACCACATATTATCTAAAGATTATAATGAATATAGTATATAATAATACGTGAATATCATGGGATATGAATGGAATATTGTAATAATATGTTCCCGTGTTATTGAATAATGGTAGTAATGATGAGAAGTTTTAAGGCCTTTAGATTCTCCAGGTATATATAAACTCCCATGGAACTCATGAAGCTGGGTTGTTTCATTAGAACGGTTGTTTGGTGGTTTGTTTCTTATATGGTGAGATGATAGTCGGATAAAATACGCAAGGACCAGCAGACAGAAAAGGATTAAAAAAAACGCATGGTTGAAACAACCAAGTCCCGAACCTGAGGATCTCTTCAGATGATGCGGCGACCTGCCGGATTGTGGCTTTTCATCGAAGCCGAACGTACAAGCCCCTCCGCCGCTGCCAGCCCGGACTTCGAGCACCAAGGCCAACGCGTTGCACTCTGGCTGGCGCCCACTGCCGCACGGCCCCCTCAGCCCGCTCCAGTTGTGGTAATGATTTGTGAGTGGGGATGAATTGATCCAAGTTCAGAAGTGGATTTTGGTGATGCAACAGCGCCTGAGACTGAGCGTCCAAAGGTGACAGCTATGGAGCATGTTGGGAGCTCCGATTGCTGGGTTTCCAGCATTCAAAGTGCGCACAAGATCTGGGCAAGGAAGGGATCTTGGAAACCCGACACCAGGGCTACCTGGTTCAAGCTGCAGCTGTAAGATTTGTTCTGTGCTGTTTCAACAACTGACAGTTGCTTTGAAGATTTTTCTGTGCCAACGGATGCAATGCTTGGGGAAGCAGGTCAGGTTGCTGTCAAGAAGATGCCCATGGCAGAAGGTTCAACCCCAACACCAAAGGCACTAATGATTAGAACAACTGCCTACCCTCCGGTCAACGTTTACATAGCTATGGAAAATCACTATTTTTAATTGGTAAATGCACTATAAATTGCAATTTTCAATAGCAAACTGTTTGTTTACCAGAGGGTAGAGAATCAGAACTAATAATGACTGGTACAATGTGGCGCCGCCGAGTTATAAGTTGATAAATGCTATGAACCATAAATGATTATTTTGTAAGTGGAGGTATTGTGATTTAACTGAATAGCATTGGGTTGTAGTGGCAAATTCGTTTCATTGGGAAATTCATCCTGGTCCACCAGCCATCCAAGGGTTTATCAGATTGTCCCATGAAACCACACATTGAACTGGCAACGTTGATATTCAGTTTCTAATTGTCAATGCTTGAACTCAATTTTTTGATAATTAGTGAACTCCCTGTTTTGTCACAAGAACGGCTTAGCATACCTCAGGGCACTGTAGAAACCTGGGTAGAATTCCAACATGTCGATTAGAAACCCATTATAATTATAATCCGATGAATTTCGTGTTTGCTCATGGTTGATGGTGAAATTCACTATACCCTCTGGTAAACTAACAGTTTGCTCTTGAAAATGATCATAGAAATAGTGGAAGTTCGCAAACCGTCAACGTCTACCGGAGGGTAATGGCAATTTGTGGATGGTTGCGCAGTTGTACCCATCAACATATCGAAATATGCTGGTATATTTACCTACATTTGCCCGAACAAAATCACCCAGTTTTGTAGGTAAATACACCAGCACCATGGGTTGCATATGGGCATAGTAATCCAATCCCAAATAACTTGATCTTGGCAAATCTCCGACCAGCTAGAGCCGTTAAGCTAGTCATAAACCAGCACCAAGAAATTTGGGCACCATCACCATGATGTCCAGTTGGGCATCCCCAGTTGTATGAAAAATATTGTCCTATGTTGTTTCTCATATTTTCACATGAGCAACGCTTTTAAACTCCTTGTGTATTGTGAAGTAACTGGGCGGTCACAAGGATTCACGTAAACCAAAACCGCAGTCCGCGTAAGCCAATGACCACAAACAGTGCGCAAGCACATCCTTACGACTTACGACCTTTGAATCTATCAAGGTGTTTAGCATGGCTTTTAAATTTGCAGATTTTTAAGAGCCTCCCTGGATTTTCCTATATTTACACATGTTTATTGCACAGTTTTCGAAGGAGCTTCAACTTTTTTTCTTACCCATATTCTGTTAACGGTGTAGCCACGCCGCACAGTTATGGCCCGAAATACCAGTTCCAAGTAATTACTAACAAAACCCCATAGATTTTATAGAATGTGTTTCATCCCATTGAAATAACCAGTTCTAACTAATAGCCATGGCCATTTTTTGCAGGAATGTGAAGCGCCAACATGACCGCAGCAGTGTCTTCATGCGGCGCTTGGTGAACGCTCATCCCATCCGCCTGGATGTCGTGCAGCAAACAATGGAAGAGTCACTGGGCGGCCTGCAAAAATCAGGGCGGATAACCAAGGGAAAATGGTGATTTCCCATGGGATTAGGCTGATTCAAGATAGCTAAGTTGATGAAACATAGCTCCAATAACTATATTTGTTTACGATAAATAACTATGATATTCATGGGGTTTTTGTTAACCAACTTATAAACCAACTTGCAACCATCCAATATTGTACCATTGAAACAGGGGGGTTCAATACTAAGTCATGGTCTAAGGACTTGGATGTTTAAAGGAAAATCAACCATCAATACCACATGAGCAATGGTCAATTCTGGGTATTATTAACCATTAATAGGGGATGGTCATCCAATGGTTAATAGGTAATTATAACAACCATTAAAAAGGAACCCTATTATAATGGGATGACCATACCCTACCTACTGAGTTTTGACCCTGGCATGCATATATATATATATATTTATATATTAATTGGGGATTAGGCCGGACAAGAAGCTGGCGATTTAATAGGGATATTAATGCTGATATAATGGTGATTTAATGGTGATTAACCCCTCTGGTAATGGAATATTAATGGCTGGTGGTTTGGAACATTTGGATTATTTTTCCATAATATATGGGATAACCCGTCCCATTGACTAGTATTTGTTATTTCAGATTTCCATATATTGAGAATAATCATCCCTAACTGACTTTCATATTTTTCAGAGAGGTTGAAACCACCAACCAGCTATATATGACATGGATTTCCAAAGGAATATGGATACACAAGTGGTCCACCTTAATCATTGACATGGGGCAACCAGGCAAGCGGCTTTTTTTTGTTCTGCTTTTCATGTGGATCCAGTTGGAGCTACTTACAATGTGGGGCCTTGCAGTTATGTTTTTTGGTTTATAGACCCCATTAATCCCCATTAACTATACACATATGCTCCATGTATGGAATATTTACGAACATTTGCCCTAAAAATCACCAAGTTTTGTAGGTAAATATATACCATGCATGGAGCATATGGGACAGTTATACATAGGATGTTATAGGTATCATAAACCATAGTGAAAATGAAGTGATGTTCACCAACTTAGTGATGTTCACATTGTAGAGTTTCCCAACCACATGATAGCAACTGAAACTATCAAAATCAAAGGGTTTTGTTTTCAACATAATGTACCTATAACTTTCCGAAATGAATAAGATTTCGGAGCCAGCGAAGGTGGCAGCACTAGAGCAAGTTATGGTCCTTCAAGATCTTGGCTGACCAGCAGGTGCATGATGTGAGAGTTGAAGAGGACGTTCTCAACGTCGACTCCCTGCCATCATACTCCCTGACATCGTGGAGGTTATTTGCTCTGATGGTTCCAAGTCCGTATTCGTCGTGATGCACCTCGTCAGGAGAGGCAATCGCAGCCTTCTTGGATCGCCACGGATCGTACTATGCCACTGGATGTGGGAGAAGTGCTTGCAGACTTCTTGGAAGCACAACGAAGCAGAAATAATAGGAAGTATCCAGTGACTAAGTGGGTCACACATACAATTATATTCTACTCGTAACTATACATGGGATACACCGCAAGAAAATATCGTCCAAACCATGGGTTAACCAATTACTAGTTGGGATACTTGGAACCTCAGTTGACCCAGAAACGGGTAAGAATACCTGTAAATGGGTTTGACAAGAGGGAGGAAACCTCAGACAGACGCAGCTGAGGAGGACTGTGTGGTGGTGAAATGTACTGGAGCCAGGAAGCGGAACAAAAAGAGGAAGACACCATACTTCCCAGCAAAGAGTGCCAAGGTGGAAATCCAGGAGGAGGAGGAGGATGAGCCTGGGGTACAGCCAATGGTACCAGCATGTTAATTAAAATGTGGGGTGAATACCTATCTGGTCGGTGGTTTGGAACATTTGGATTATTTTTCCATATATTGGGAATAATCATTCCAACTGACTTTCATATTTTTCAGAGGGGTTCAAACCACCAACCAGACCAATGTTTACGGGGTTAATGACGGTCTAGGTGTGTTTATATAGCTTGTAAATGCAGGCAGACATCAGGAACTTGGGAAGGGCCGTCAAGTCTTAGGAAGCCAAAGCACAGTACAGAGCTGATTCAAATATTGTCTTGACATAGATTCTAGAATAGAAACCACTCAAATATATTATATCTATTGAACTTGGCAGAAGTAAAATTTTTATGGTGGATTGTGGTGCTTTGGTGTTGGCATGTGTTGACTTTGCCCTGTCCTGAAGGTATTTGTGGAACCTTTGCTTGTGGCGACGTTTCGGAACACTACAATTCATGGACAAGCAACTTGGCGATGCTTAGGCAGCTTTAGGAAGTAAGTCTCCGAAAAAAACGGTTGGTTTATCTCCTACAAAATTCTTCATATCTATGTGCTAGACGTGCTGCTGGTTAAATCATGCTGATGCTGCTTATGAAAGGAACTTTGAACGTATATAACCCATATGCTCCATGTATGGTATATATTTACCTACAAAACTGGGTGATTTTTAGGGCAAATGTTGGTAAATATTCCATACATGGAGCATATGGGTAATATATATATATATATTATATACATCTACAAATGAAATCGCACAAGTAGGACGAAGGCATGGAGCACTAAGTAACCTTTGATGCTCAAACTCTGCAACGGATAATACCTACTGTTTCATGACATAGCCACAGTTGGGTTGCCCTGGTGCGTCAGTGTGTCAGCTGGCTTGTTTTTCTTGGCAGCTTTGCCGGCTGGCCTCGACAATCTGCGGCTCCCTTCTGTTCCCAGTTTCCATGCTCCTCCGTTTCAGTCCACTGCCTCCTTCCAAGAAGGATTTTCATGACATATGGTCGGTACATGTCTCATTTAAACCAATCGCCGCATGAGGGGAAAAGACGCAAACATCTTGACCCAATTCCAGTTAACAATTCAACTTCATAGTGATGATGCCATGTAAATGTCTACTGCAAAGTATGTGCTAACAGTGCACATGTTTTTCTCTTAGAGGCGGGCCCAGGAGTGTTCCACGGGTTCAAAAAGGGTGGTATTCTGTTGAACTTTGCAGTGACAGGGTTTGGTTGATGATGACTCCCAGATGCTCCATGTATGGAATATTTACCTACATTTGGGTCATTTTTGGGGTAAATGTAGGTAAATATTCCATACATGGAGCATCTGGGACTTGATAATCTTATAGACATGGATACGTGGGAACATTTCACACGCAGCGTAAGACATGTTTCCATTATGTTCCACTGAGGAGTATCCAAAATCAGCAACATACACGATGGTGAGGAGAGGGACCATGGTGACCATGACCCCACATGTTCAAAAATAGATTGCACAAAGATCTATATAAAGGTTCGGTTAACAAAAGCAAAACTCAAACACCTGACAAACATGCCACTTGGGAAAATCGCACCATTTCTGGGCAAACCCGAATGGTCAAGGCTTGGCTATGTTCCCATAGCTGTCGCTGAGAAGGTTCTGCGGGCTGGCAGAGATTAAAAAAAGGAAGGTAGAAAGTAATAAACATGGGGTGATACAAGGAGGTTTTGTGGCAGGACTTCCCGTATGTGTCTTCGACAACGGGATATCACCGAAATCCCGTGATTGATTATATGTTTTTTAATTATTTTCTTTGACATTTTCATGCGAATAATATATATATATGTATATTATATATATAGAACCTATAAATATGTGTATTATGTGTCCATTTTCAGAAACAAACACTATTTGATAACTATGTCCTCATCAAAATTGTATTCTTTTGGCATCCACCATGTTTGGACACAGCCATCCTTGCCATCCTAAAACCATGGAATCATCATTCCTGCGAGGTAGGACCCCATAGTTAGCAAACTTGGTTTACAGCTACAGTCATGGCCATTTATCAGTTACACCTGGCTATAAATGGGATTATACAATCTATAAATGGGGTTATAAGTACTTAGAACTGGTAAAGGGCAATAACTGTATCATATTATATCTATAGTTCGGTGAGTTCATAAATTATAAACCAACAAACATGTCGTTTGGGATGCCCACATTGTAAATGATTCAGAAGAAGCCGTCATTTCTGTTGCAGTGGCTATTGCTAGACGCAGTGGGATCCGGATGAAGGATGTCGAATCGGGCGATCGAAATGACAGGTTGGTTGAGACCGGAATTACCCTTTCATGGATTGTGATAGCTTCCAATATATTGGTTAGCATGATCTTATGTAATAGCCAAAAAAACAGATTTTTGAACACTTCTCATGTGAGGCAAACGCCCATTGGTTCATTGTGTATTTTGTACAGTATTTTCGGGCTTTACACTCTGGTAAACTAACATGACTATGGAAAATCACCATTTTTTAATGGGAAAATCCACTATTTCTATCGCCATTTTCAATAGCTTTTTGTATGTTTACCAGAGGGTACTACGTATTCAAAAGCGTTTCGAACAATCCATCAGAAACAGCCAAGAATTGACGTTGGGACGTTGCCTGGAATGCTACAATTTACAGATGTTTGAAGCACGGCGGTGGCACGCTTCAAGAGAAATCTATATGAACATCTTATGAATCCTGTATGACGTGGGTCAATCTTGGTTCAGTAGCTTGATGGTTGAGTAGGTATGTGTGATTTGATCCATGGTTTGCCTAGCCGGCTGAAGATAACCTCCATTTTTCCCCACCTGCCAGGTGAGGGTTGTTAGATTTTATGTCAGTTGCCTCCTCCTTCTCCTCCTCCTCCTCCTCCGCCTCCTCCTGCCTCGTCCTCCTCTCCTCCTCCTCCTCGTCCTCCTCGTCGTCCTCGTCGTCCTCGTCGTCCTCGTCGTCCTTGCTCAACTGCGACCCGCGATCCACAGTGTTCTCTGCCGGACCTCGACCACGACCATCCACGCCCAGTGTTCCCTGCCGGACCTCAACCACGACCATCCACGCCCAATGTTCCCTGCCGGACCTCAACCACGACCATCCCCGCCCAGTGTTCCCTGCCGGACCTCAACCACGACCATCCACGCCCAGTGTTCCCTGCCGGACCTCAACCGCGAGTATCCACGCCAAGTGTTCCCCGCCGGACCTCATGTAGGAAGATATGGGACAAAGAATGTGCAGAAGAAAGTTAGAAAGAATGTCAGAAAGAATGTCAGAAGATATGCCAGAAGATATGCCAGAAGATATGCCAGATAGAATGCCAGATAATATGCCAGAAGATATGCCAGATAGAATGCCAGATAGAATGGCAGAAGATTTGCCAGATAGAATGCCAGAAAATATGCCAGAAGATATGCCAGATAGATATGTCAGAAGATATGCCAGAAGATATGCCAGAAGATATGCCAGAAGATATGTCAGAATATATGCCAGAAGATATGTCAGATATAATGCCAGAAGATATGTCAGAATATATGCCAGAAGATATGCCAGATAGAATGCCAGAAGATATGTCAGATAGAGTGCCAGAAGATATGCCAGATAGAATGCCAGAAGATATGTCAGATAGAGTGCCAGAAGATATGCCAGATAGAATGCCAGAAGATTTGCCAGATAGAATGCCGGAAGATATGCCAGAAGATATGCCAGATCATATGCCAGAAGATATGCCAGATAGAATGTCAAATAGAATGTCAGAAGATATGTCAGATAGAATGCCAGAAGATTTGCCAGTAAGAAAATGTATAAATGTCATGGTGGGGATCACACGAAGTAAAGTAATTTCCGTAGGCGTCTAGTAGCAATGTTATGTTTATGTCAGCCTCACTTTTTCAAGATACTCTTAGTCAGTGTATGTTAGTGTGTTTTCCTTCTCAGCATCAAGAATGCAAGAAAACATGGAAGGGTTTATGATACCCATTCAGATTTGCACAGAATAAATGGTGATAATATATAATGTGCACGCGCGAACAATGTCTCGAGTTCTAAAGCACGGCTGATTGCAGTGCTGAATATATAATGTACAATAAAACATGAGCAATCCAACATTCATCCCACAAACCTCATACTTAACATACATGGGGGTCAAAACCTATTATTATCATTTTTAGGGGAATAACCATCCATGAGCCAGCTATTTCTAGTGTACCCTCCGGGTACCGTGAGTTGAGCCAAACATCCCATGGCGAGTCGACGATCGATGGCCAGGAGATGCCTGACCTGGTGAAGGTGGCAATGGACTTGTGGAGATCTGGCTTACACGCCTGTGCCTTTCTGAGAATCCTGGAGATGTCCCAAATTCCCAGGGGTTGGTTGATGAAAAAAGAGGGGGTTGAAGGTTTACCCCTAAAAACAACAGGTTTCTATGATGATAGATGCCGGCCCCTATTTTTTTTACCAAAAGGACATTATTGCCGAGAATTTCGTGGGTAAAAAAAAAGACCCACCAGTCGCACCCTTTTACCCTCCAGTAAACAAACACAACTATGGAAAATCACAAATTTTCATAGGTAAAACAACTATCAATGGCCATTTTCACTAGCTAAGTTAGTTTACCGGAGGGTAAAGGGAGTACAAAAAAAAACCTTGGTTATGGAGGATTAAGATAAATTAAGAGAAACGATAGGATTGGGAGTTGGGAGTTTCAGGGGAGTTACTGCAGTTTCGCATGTTAGCGATTTTCAATTTTGCAATACCCATATGCTCCATGTATGGAATATTTATTAACATTTGCCCTAAAAATCACCCAGTTTTGTAGGTAAATACATACCATACATGGAGCATATGGAATATGATATTAGGGAAATATGTCTTTCCACATAGAAGAAACTACACTATTTCATGTGTTTATTATGATTTGTGGAGAGATTTGGATAGAACGGGGTGATGGTGATTCATGGAGTCATAACGGTAACTTACAAAAACCGTTCCCTAGATCATCCTAGATCATTGGACTATTTTTGGGTTCTTCATGTTGTTTGTTTATGCTGACGTCGTCCAATACGGCCCCGGGGAATTTGCTAGTTTTTAATAAACATGGGTTGGGGTGGGGTGGGGTAGGATGTTAACGTTCATGGTACGCTGCTGATGATGTTACGCTGCCCGTTGGGGTTGGGGTGGGGTGGAATGTTCACGTTCATGGTACGCTGATGATGTTACGCTGCCCGTTGGGGTTGGGGTGGGGTGGGGTGGATGCCCGTTGTAGGATGTTTCCGATGATGTTACGCTGCCCGTTGGGGTTGGGGTGGGGTGGGGTGGGATGTTAACGTTCATGGTACGCTGATGATGTTACGCTGCCCGTTGGGGTTGGGGTGGGGTGGGGTGGGATGTTAACGTTCATGGTACGCTGATGATGTTACGCTGCCCGTTGGGGTTGGGGTGGGGTGGGGTGGGATGTTAACGTTCATGGTACGCTGATGATGTTACGCTGCCCGTTGGGGTTGGGGTGGGGTGGGGGTGGGATGAATATGTATATAATTATATATATATGTGTTTGTGTGTGTGTAAACGGCTATCCATTCAAGCCGAAGTTATCCGAAGTTATTCATTTGTCGTCATTCACATGTCGTATTGAGCTTCGATCTTGGAGGCAGTAGCATCTCCCGGATTTCATTTATGTGTGTCAGTTTGGCGAGATTCAGTTTGCGGTAATTAATTTTGCAAGAAATCATTTCTGCGAGCTTTCAGTTTGCGAGATACGAATTTTGATAAATTAAGAACCAGTAGCAGGGGGCCAGCGCATGGCATCACGACGCTGGCCAACGAAGCTAGTGATGTCATGGAAAGCAGTTGGAGACGTCCAACTGTGTACCTGCAAAGAAGTTTGAAACTTTTGACAAGCTGTCATCCTTGGTATGTTTTGAGAGTCCTTTGAACTGCAATGTGTATCATGTTGGCAAGTTCACCCTGTCAGCACGTGTGACGTCCGATCTCGTAAGGCCACTTAGGTTCATCAAGGCGTATACATCTTCATCACCATATCGAATCTCATCGCGTTCCTTACGGAACCATATCTCAGTGTGTGCATGCCTGTTTGTGTCAGGTTACACACACACACATATATATATATGGATATATAAATATATTGTATATATACTTGCATATATGTATATAAGAATCAGTGTACATGTCCAAGGTATGCAAGGTATGTGTCTATGTCTGGTCTATCATGTATGCAACACGATCCTAACATATTGCTGGCTTCCAAGCGTGTTTTTTTTCGCTGATTTGCACAGACTTGTAAAACCCATTGGAAATAGCACAAAATGGACACAAAGTGCTGTAAAACGCAAGGCATTTGAACATGGCGCAAAATCCATGGTGACAGAAAGTGCCATAAGGGTTATCGAAATAGCAAGATGCTTGTTTTCAAAACAAACAAAAACAACGGGACCGCAATGGACGACGTTACCTTGTTTATGGATTAATGGATTTTTTTGGATTCATGATTTGGACATATAAATATATATATATATATATATATTTATTACATTTATATTATATATTATGTATAAATACAAGTATATATATATAGAGGATTAATTAACTATACAAGTTGGGATATTGATTTGTACCCCTGTTGCACTTTTCGGCGGCCATTTATTTTAAGTCACATGGAGATCATCAAAGGCACCGAGGTGAAAAGGGCCAGCCATACAGGCGACACACTCTGGGTGCTCCGAGATCGCGGCCACGGCCGACGTATTTTATGACCGGCTACTCTCTGGTAAACTAACGTAACGAACTGGAAAATCACCATGCTATTCATGGGAAAACTCACTATTTCTATGGCAATTTTCAATCAGAGGGTATGTGTTTGACCTTTGTTGCCAGTGTTTTTTCTATGTCCTGTTTCACTTTGCCAGTTGATGGGAGTATAGTATTCACCCAACCGTTGGAGCCGCACGATCCAAGAATTGATCAGTTGGTTTGTATACCAATTTGTGTGATCCAGAAGATTGAATTGATGCGTCGCAATTGAATTGCAACCCAAGATGGGCTACGTATTTTGGCATATATGAATATATATATATATATATATATATATATGTACGGGCAATTAAAGAAATTATAACGACCTCAGTGTTCTCCCTCACTGGAATCATGGTTTATTTTAGGGAAATCACCCCTCAAAGGCCTTCATTAATTCAGGTTAGTGAATTGTGATAATTTACCCAGATATATACACAATTCATATATCATAAACTATGTAATATAGTAGGATAAACATCCCGGGAAGTCCTTGGCTGGCTCCCAAGGTGAAGATGAAATGAGAACATGCAACTACAAAGGCAGAGTTTGTAAACATATTTGAACATTGTATACATCATACAATGTGGGGCCCCCTAGATTACGAAATCGCTAAGTTCGGGGCCACATCACATCACCGGGGGGCCCAACATTGTATGGGATGATTGGATTTGTCGGGCAAAAACTTTATGTGACCTACAGTAACTACTGTAAGCCACCGGTTATTTTTTACATAGCGAACTGGAAGCCATGGCCCATAGAAACAGATGATTTTCCCAGCTAGAAACCTCCATTTATCATGGATTTTCCGTTGGTAAATCTACGATCTGTTCAGGTATACACTCCCAGCTTGAGAGTTGGCATGTTCCTCTCCCAGTTCCAAGGTACAGATGCTTATGGGCCTGCTGTCAGGCGCTGTGCTGTTCGTTTTTGAACTTCCAAGATGGCTACAAGGTGATTTATCACTAGGCTACTGTAGCTGGGTTGTTGGTGATTCAGTAATTATAACTACACTCAGAGGACGGGGTTATAAATTTATAAATCAACTTAAGAGTAACTTAAGAGTATGACTGGTTGGTGGTTTGGAACATTGCTTTTATTTTCCATATATTGGGAATTTCATCACCCCAACTGACGAACTCATATTTTTCAGAGGGGTAGGGCTCACCAACCAGATGAGTCTTGGGGAGTGGGTCCGCATTCTTTGACCAACCATGATAGACCATGGACGTTTTTATGGGATCCAACATTCTGAGATACCCGGCCTGGTAAACGTTTACATGGCTATGGAAAATCACCATGCTATTAATGAGTAAAGCAACTATTTCTATGTGGTATTTTCAACAGCTTTTTGTATGTTTACCAGAGGGTAGCCCCTGCCCCTGCGCATCAAACATGAAGCTGAAGAACACGAGGACGGCACCTTTTCAAAAAGTCCCTGGATGTTGTGCAATCTGAAATCCAGATACACCAAAACTACCTCGATAGCCCACATAGAAAAACATAGGCTAACATACATCCCAGCACTGCTTCTCAGATCTTCTCAGTTAGTTCCAATAAATTGTCATTTTCCTTACCATTGGATGTTTGCCATGGTTTTAAAATGGATTCCTTTTGATTTTAGAGTGTAAACAGAGGAACTTTTCCATGACATTCATGTCCCATTCCCATTTTGTGGGCATGACCATTAAATTAAAAAGGTCGCTTTGATATATAATGAGGATCACATTTGGTTATGTCTGAACATGTTGGGAAAACTACCAAATCTATTCAAATCCGATTTCCTGGGATGAACCTATTCTTTGTTAATCCGTATCTTTCTTGGTCAATCATTTTTTTTTTTACTGACGCTCCAATCTTCTCTGAAAACAGCACATTTGTTCAGGTAAAACCATACGGTCATTGTTTAAATCACATGTTTTCGTTTTCATTTTCCATCTTTGCCGGTTGGATCCATTCACTTTCTGGGTCAACCCAACCAGTTTTGAGAACAAATCTGCAGGGTGTCTAAGATTGGCCATGATATATAACTATGATAATATATAATTATATACATATATACATATATTTATATTATAACCCATAGAGGATAATATGTTCCATGAATCTACGTGGGTCATACTACTATACTAACTAACTGATTTGAATACTGCTGTGTTACACGCTGGCAACGTTGTCCTACATTCCAGAAGTAAGAACTTGTTATCAGGGGTTTATTGTTGCAAATGGGCCCAAGACAGGTACTGGTTGGTAGTTTGGAACATGTTTTATTTTTCCATATATTGGGAAGAATAATCCCAACTGACTTTCATATTTTTCAGAGGGGTTGAAACCACCAGCCAGACCAGGTCTATGTTAACTGCAGGGTTTGTGCAGTTGAAACAATGAATGACTTAGATGAGTGTATAACCAACTTATCACTTCCAGGTGGTGTCCGTTAAGATCCGTTAAGTATGTTGTTTGGTTTATACATTGTGCCCCCCTAGTTATAAGTTGGTGAATCAGCTTCATTAACTATAGTTATAGGTAATTATCATACATAATCATATATAGGTATTAAAGGTATATAACCAACTTAGCTATCTAAGAGGCCCCACACAGTGTTTCGAATTCTTGTACAAATTCAAATAATGAAGTTGCAGTAGCAGCAACCAACCACACACCAATGGCCAGGCATCATATTTTCGATCTTGAAAATCAAGCTCAACGCAAACGCAAAAAAGTTGGCATCAGCGAGGGAGAGGCAGAACAAAATCGGAAAATGGTGTTGGCGGTTAAAGAATGCCGGAAGATCGACAGTGGGAATACCATTTGCATGCGTGCAAAATCTTACAACAAGAGAAGGATGAAGCTCGCGCTGTTCAAGCACTGTGCTCGAACAGAAGTTGGTTGCTGAAACAATTGCCATCAACAGGGCCATTGCTACGGCCAAAAAAAGGCCAAAGAGTTGCAATGCAAAGTACTAGGTCAATCTTACATGGATACTTTAACCCTAACTAGTCGTTTGGTATTAATGGGAATATCTACGTTCACCAGCAGAGAATTTGTCATTTTTAGCAGGGTATCTAAGATTGGCAATGAGTAGAGCGTGCAGTTGCTATGCTGCAGTGATTTGTTAAAACACATGCATCCCATGTGCTGTAAGTATAGTGGTTTCATGACAATCCACTCAGCGGTTAACCTAGCTGGGGCACCACCACGGACTATTCTTCATATTCCATTATGCTCCATTTTATTCCCATTATCTCCTATTATATTCCCACTACGTCCCTATCTTGACACTACTTTTGAGGGAGCACCACACTTGATATATATATATATCCAATTATATACCAGTAAAATACCATAGGAATACGATTAATATCCTATTAATATACCATTAACATCCCCTTGTAATGCCCTTATAATTCCATTGAACGACCATTTCTTCAAGTCTGGGTGGTTCATATCTCATTACAATGCCATTAAACCAGTGATTATCCTACTAGGATGTGGGGCCCCCCAGTTGTAAGTTGGTTTATACAACCCATTAACTATAGAAATTTTTATTTATAGGTATCATAAACCATAGCTATTGAAGTGATGTTCACTTAGCTATCTTAAACCAGCCGTAAATACCATGAATTGTCTCATTTTCCTATAGTTTTCCCAACTTAGCTATCATAAATCAGCCTAATCACATGAACTCCCCATCTAAGTCTTGGTTAAGTCACCACGTTCCTATGGCAAAATCCTATCGTTTTCCGTCGGCAGGTGCCACGCCCTGGAACTGGCCGCCTGGCATCCGAACAAAGACGACCTGGCCAAGACATGGGCCATCGACGCGCCTTCGGTCAGAGCCAAGCGGCGGAGGCGCCGAGCCCACAAAATGAGGGGGGATGAATCTGGAAAATCTTTGGATTTTGGAAATCGAGTTCGGAACATGGAACTAATATTATCTAATATTCCATTATTAAGGGGGTTAGTGGTTGATAATGGTTAAGAATGGTTAAGAATGATTGATAACGATGGTTAATAATGGTGAATAATAAGGGGAATGTCCATGGATGTCCTGTTTTGGGGGGTTTTAAGCATCACTTTCAAGCATTTGTTGGAGATATCCCGAAAAGTTGCATGATGTTCAATTTGGGCATCTACCAACCCTTGAAATCTGTGGATTTTGGAAATCATGGCCATGGAATCATATCGGTCATCATGGTTAATCATTTTTAATATATTAGTGTATGTGTATAACAAACCATTATGGGAATATAAGCAGTGATAAGAATCTTACATATTGTAGCAACATATACCTTTTTCGTGATACAATGGAAATATAGTGATTTTTTTTTATTTCAACCACATATATATATATAATGGGATTCAAAACTCACCATATACGATAGATAAACAACACAATATGGATATATATATATATACATATAAAAAATATAATTATATAATTATAATAATAGACACAACCATTTAACATACTTAAAATTGCACCATGAATTGACACGTCGGTCCATAAGCCTTCCTGAACGGTGGATTGTTTTTTGGCACAGCTGCTAGCGACCTCTTAGCGACTGCACCACAGATGATGGCGATAGAGAATCTTCACGAATCATGGATGTTGGAAATTCTAAAACAGATTGTAGCCATACACTACGTTGCCTTGTGATTACATGGGCAAACCTGATTTGATGCCACTGAAACTTGTCAACTTTGAACAATTGAGGTCAACGAACCACCAAGTTCAGAGTTATGACATATAGTCTTACTCCCACAGGACGGCGGTGACGGAAGATGGTTTGCAACGCGTGAAGACACTTGGTGGGAAACGAAGCGAATCGACATTTTCCCGTGAGGGATGGTCATTCCCGCAGGGAAACAATGGTCGATAAACCCATTGTAAGTTAGTAAGTTTAAGGAATCTCCCATGATGGTGGGTTGACCAGTTGACCATGAAGCCCATGTTTTGACCATGATCTGAGCATCATAGGTGTTTCCCATAGTTTACAAAAGTCAAATACGGGATTTCAACATCAAAGATGGCTGATTGGTGGTGACTGGAACCATGGAATTTTATGACTTTCCATAGATTGGGAATGTCATCATCCCAAGTGACGAACTCATATTTTTCAGAGGGGTAGGTATACCACCAACCAGTCAAAGATGGAAACTGATCCACCAAACTAAGAACTGAACCAGCAAAGTCCGGACCCGTGTGGGTACCAATGGGTACCGGACTTTTGGTGGTTGGCGATTTTGCCATAAAAGGTTGATGTATGACCAGCGACCAAGATAAGGCTATTCACCAGCAATGGCAAATATGTTTGGGAATAGGTACAAAAAAAATAATCGGGACCCAACCCAATTTGTGATGTGGCACAGCCATATCCAATCAAGTCATCTGACATGGGATTTGGAATCGATACAATTTATTGATGACAGGAATATCAAGAATTTAAGACCATCGGATGATCATGAATGACTGGTTGGTGGTTGGAACATGTTTTATTTTTCCATTCAGTTGGGAATTTCATCATCCCAACTGACGAACTCATATTTTCAAGGGGTGTTGGTATACCACCAACCAGATTATGTATTTCAATGAGTATCAAGATGTTACAAGTTTGATACACTTGTTTAATACATGAAAATTATTTTTGGCTATCAAGACATGGACAAGGATCGATGACATAATGCTGAGATGAATTGGGATGATCCAAGCAAAGTGATGGTTAGCGTGGAATTGTCCAAGAATCATACAGGATGGTCCCCCCAGTTATAAGCTGGTTTATAATCCCATTAACTATAGTTATACCTACCATAAACCATAGTTAAGCCACTTATAAGGCAACTTAGCTATCTTTGGGGCCCCATCCTGTAGGAGGCAACTGACTCTCTGAATAAGATGTGGGAGCACATATTGCCGTACAGATGATGCGGTGACATTACCATGTCATGACCCTAGTCAGTGGCCATTCCAGGATCCTAAATTGGAGGTACCTACCATATATAAGGCCTATTTTTTCGGCCTATGTAAGGGGATATACCCCCAAAATATGGCCTTATAAGGTACAGTACCTCCGTTTTAGGATCCTGAAATTCCCATTGATCTAGCCCAGCAAAACCCTTAGTGAAGGATTTCATTTAGATAGAACAAAATCAATGGCTACATGGGTTTGTAAGCAGACATAACTAGGGGGCCACCACCTTGGCATTGACATCAATTATGACACTATTAAATCACTGTTTGTTGAATGGAACAACCACTACTATATACGGTATATTACATGTATATATATATGTGCAATATCATCCTTTAAAATGCCATTATGTAAATCCGATGAACATCCCACACATGTATAAATCCCATTCCATCAACATGTCCATGATTGAATGCCATACTGTGGACGGAAAAAATCCTGCAGCACCAAAAAGGATGATTGAAACCCTACAATGTGGTACCCCCCAGTGATGCTTGTTGTTTTATAACCCCATCAACCATAGATATATCTACCATAAGTCCTAGTGAAATTGGAGTTATAAACGCACCAACTTAGCTATCGAACTGGGGCACCACTTTGTATCTACCAGCCAAATCGTGTTTGTTATGTGAAAGGCTTCAAGTTTATAGAAGTGGGATGACTATCCCCAACCATGATGATATTTTTTAAAAGGATGGTTGAAACCCTAGGGTTTTTGTTTTAATACCTTAGGTCCATGGGTGATTTGGCAACGACCCGCAGTATCAAAAATCTACTTGGGACATCCACTTGGGACATCCATGGAAACCATGGCGATGTCCCAAGTTCCCATTGGTTGATTCATAGAGAGGTTTGAAGAAACCCCTGGAACAGCAGGTAAATATTGTATATATAAATATTGATAAATCATTATTATATATATATATAGATGATATCGATAAATATTGATATGCACATAGGCGATGATAAATGATTATTGATAGATGGTATACCAAACCGGCCCAAAACCTATTTTTACCAGTTTAGGACATTATTGGTGGGATTCACACAATGCCATAAACTATCCTCTAGTCATCGTCATTTCTATGGGTGCTATGTTGAATGACACCCTATCCTCTAGTTTCTATAGACATATCTCCAAAGAAAACATAGATACATGGGGATGTTTTCCTGTTGAGTGATAACTAATAAATGGCCATAACTGTGGGACATCTTCCATGGCTCCCCAAGGAAGGCCTATGAGCAGCTGTGGAATGAGAAGATCGGCCTGGAACTGCTAACGAAGTGTCGTGCCGTTGCGGCTCGGATAGCGGATCTGTGTGGACGATTTTTTGGGCGACGAAATCGCGTTCAGTTGAGGAACAATGTGGATTTCATGGGAATTCATAGGGATTTTCATGGTGATTGATATAGGGATTTTACAAACAACAATGGGGATATTGATGGGAATTACCCTCTGGTAATTCAACAGTTTGCTATTGAACATGCCCCATAGAAATAGATGGTTTTTACCTATTAAAGATGGTGATTTTCCATAGTTATGTAAACGTTTACCAGAGGGTATGGTTTATGATAATTACCTACAACTAAAGTTAATTGGATTTATAAACCAACTTATAGTCATTGAGAGCTATGGGGACTTTTTTTGGGTCCCTTTAGATAGCTATGTTGGTGGACATAATTTCAATAAGTATGGTTTATGATACCTATACCTCTAACTATAGTTTTCATGCTAGCGGACCGTTTACCGGCCCACGTTTTGTGGATGGGTTGGGGTGGGGTTGGGGTGGGGTTGGGTTGGGGTGGGGTGGGGTATAACGTACGTTGCAATTGCTTCGTCACGGACTTGCTACGCCACTTCTACCTACGTTGCAATTGCTTCGTCACGGTCTTGCTACGCCACTTCTACCTACGTTGCAATTGCTTCGTCACGGTCTTGCTACGCCACTTCTACTTGCTTCGTGACTTCGTGACAACATGGGGATGGGGTTGGGGTGGGGTAATAACGTACGTTGCAATTGCTTCGTCACGGACTTGCTACGCCACTGCTACTTACGTTGCAATTGCTTCGTCACGGAATTGCTACGCCACTGCTACTTACGTTGCGATTGCTTCGTCACGGTCTTGCTACGCCACATCTACCTACGTTGCAATTGCTTCGTCACGGTCTTGCTACGCCACTTCTATACCTACGTTGCAATTGCTTCGTCACGGTCTTGCTACGCCACTTGGGGTAATAACTTACGTCGCAAGGTTATGATATCTTGGAAACCAACCCTGGTAATCTGTTCTAAAGCTTCTCTGTATTTTGCCGTGCTATGGAATCTTCGGACTCGTCAATGAATGGTCACATGGTTACTGAGACTCATTCTTGAATCTTCACCGGGCTTTGAAATTCGAATCACATACTCATTGACGATCTTTTCTGTGGCGACAAGATATTGGCCAATTCCTGTTCACGCCTTAGATTATGAATAATGACCTGAAATCCTTTCCCTTGAGAACTGATCCTGGAGGATCATGAATCTCTATCAGTTGCCGCTTGCAGCCTCGTCGAATCGCGGAAAGCCACCGCCAGAGTCACAGCGCCGCATTGCCGCTGCGCACAGAATGGATGGAATTTGTCCAAAAGACAAAGGCGGCAAAAAAACTTTGCTGCTGTCGGATGATGGCGCACCGTGCTACAAAGGGTTGTGCAAGCAACACAAAGTGTTGCTGCGACAGTGCAACCATAGCAAAGGTGTCTTCAGTGTGTGGAGATACGTCAAAGGACGTGGACACATCCGGGTTCACACTGGATCCTTGGATGCCTACTGGACTTTGATGAAGGATGGCATCCCTAAGTCTCTCAGCAGCCACTGCGCGGGAAAGCCAAACCCAAAGCTGTGGAAGTACATCAAAATTCAACAGTGGCGCTGGGAGATGGGCCTCTCAAAGACTGGACGTCAGCTCGCAATGCTGTGAAAAAGACGTGATTTCAATTCGCATCCTTTTTGAACACAAAACCCTGTAAGGGTTAACGAGCCATCTGAATTCAGTGACTTTTTGGGATGGTCATTTTGAACATGAAACATGCACGCCGCTATGGCGAAAAAAACATTTTCCTGAAATCATGGGCCGGTGATCGGTCCGGCGGGGTTTTCATGAATATTTTCATGGGCTTTATAAACCAACTTATTAAACTGGGGTGCCCAACATCTCTATGGCTATATTTTTGTTAAAGCTTTGACCACAGATGACTTGACCTGGCTACCCATCCAACGGGGGGTTTTGAAAATTGGTGGATCCCAAGACACCCGTGGGTTTCATTACTAAAATGCTTTACCCCCTGGTAAACGTTCACATCATCACTAATCATCTATAATCATCTATAATTATCTATAGTATATCCTCAATATCCATGCTTTACCCTCTGGCAAACGTTCACATAACTATGGAAGATCATCATTTTTTGATGGGAAAACTCACTCTTTCAATGGCCATTTTCAATAGCTATGTTAGTCATTACCAGAGGGTAAAAAAAATGATTTGCGGTACCTCCATCTTAGGAACCTACATATGTAGTAACTCCCAAAAAGCATGTGAAAAACAATACCCTTCGGAAATCTGGATTAATGACAATAACATCACTGTGACGTCAGTGGAATGATGGCCAGTCAATTAACATCGACCCTGAAAATTGGCCAGTTTTGAGTGGAATCTGATCTTCCCAGCCCCTATTTGGCAGGATCTATGTTAATTTACTGGAGGACCACCCTCCAAGAGATAAAAAAGTAAAATTCTGATGAGATAAAATACATTTCGATTTTTCGAGGGTTACATAATGATGAATGTATGATTGAGTGTCCCCTCTTCTAAGCCAAGTGATAGTATGTTATAGTACCATGTTTGATTATTAAGCGTACCATGTTTGATTGTTCAGCCTCACTTTTTCGCAACCATCAGTTTGGAGAAATTGTAAGGACCTCACTGCGCATCACGGAATGGAAGATGAGTGGCGGAAGTTTTCGGGTTAATGAATTGCTGTAATTTATCTACAGTTATGGCCATTTACTAGTTATATGTAACTGGTTAAATATAGGATTATACATTCTATAAATGGAATTATGTTAGTACTTACAACTGGTATAACTCGAGCCATAACTGTAGACCATTGAAATATACCATGAATTTGCCGATCGCAACTGGATCATTTTGATAGGTCAAAGTACATTGCCAAACAGGGCTCTCCAGTGATGAAGTATGACTTTGTTTATATTCACCCGCTTTGTAGATAGACCGACCCACTATCAATCGACACTCTTGCATACTCTTTCCAGTTTCAATCGAATTTACCAAACATCTACAATCAACTATAGGACTTATGGTAGATATATCTGGTTTTTCTGTTTTTTTTCAACCAACGTTGACATCACGGGGGGGTACAATCAATCCCGTGTTTCTTGGTGAGGTGATTTTGTGGTATTCTCTTGTCCTGTCATAAATGGTGTGTCCGAAAATGGCGGGAACACCAGCCAGCCATAGCGAAACACGAATAGGGAAAACATGGGAAAACAGTGAGAATCCCTTGGAATTGGGAGCAACTTGAACTTAGTGGAAAATCCAGGATCCTAAAATGGAGGTGCGTTAGTACCTTACATAGGCCTTATATATGGTAGGTACCTCCAGTTTAGGTGCTTGAAATGGCCATTGATCAAGTTCTTTTTTGGTTGGATAGTCTTACTGGTGTGTTTTACGTAGGGAATGGATGGGTTGCTGGGGGTTGCTGGTATGATTATTACTAGTGATGAAATGGATCATTCCCGAAAATCTCCTGCGGTTAGCACCAGTAAGTAATATAATATTAAAGAAATTATTTGCTTCAACCAACCGACTGACTCCGTAGGAAACCACAGCTTGAAAACACCTGAGGACACGTATGATTGAGAATACAGTTGAGAATACTCAGGAAATTGGATGGTGCTATTGGTGCTATGAATGGAGAAAAGCATGACCGGGGGTATGTCCTACAACCGTCGTTCAGGACGTTCATCCCAAAAAACGGTCTTTGGGCCAGGACCATTTCAAAAATGATCCCAGACCGCTAGGGTATAAATATATATATATATATATATGATATTTAAAAAGTAGGAGGAAAAGATAGAACTTGATCCTGCAACTTGCACAAACATGTGCGGCAAATGAGGCGGCAAGCCAGCCCAGGACTTGAGCCGCAGCAGCGCCAAGCAGGCGGCGCTTTCTTTGTCGCAGAATCTGCAGTTCAACTCTTGATTGAAGCTTCATTGGAAAACCAATGTCAATAGAACGCCGAAGTGGAAGAAGGCTTGCCATGGGGTACCCCCATCAATGGAGATACTCACGACTGCTCACCAAGACAAAGCCGACCGCAACCTTGCAAGCAAGTCTACGTGCGCTTCATGCCTGCAGTCCCAAAGCAAGAACTCGGACACGTACATTTTCTATACTGTTTGTTGGCCTTCTGGGTTGACATACTAGTGACGGATCTGAGTTTGTCCTTTGTGCTTTGGCGATGTTCATCTGGTTGGTGGTTTGGAACATGAATTTTATGACTTTCCATATATTGGGAATGTCATCATCCCAACTGACGGGGTGGTATAACCAACCAGTCATGGTAGACAAAGCAACCAGTCTTTGAAATTGCAGGGTACTTTTCCATCGATCACCCATGCGCCCACGACACAACACTACAACTGCAAGTTGTGAAGAGCCCTGCAGGAAGTCTGGTGGGTCACCCGCAGTGCATGCCAAACCCATAGGATCCACGTATGGTATATATGCTAACATTGTGGGTATATTGATGGTACATGTTACCATATATAGCATACATGGATCCTATGGGATATAGAATGGGTTTATTGGACAATGCGCTATGCCCCCTACAGTGACAGTTTAAATGGACGGGAAAATGATGGTTAACCACTGGATTTGTGGTGCCCTGTGGTTTTGGTAAAGACAATTGAAGACATTTATTGTCACCATTCGTCTCATGAAGCTTCACGTTTTGCATGGGTTGTTTAACTCCTGCTCAGGATTTGCCTCGTAAGCTAACAAATTGGGATAATTGGGGCACCACCTTGCAGAACTCAGACATGAGACAATCCTTGCTGCAACAAGGTCAATGCGCTCTTCACAGGAACAGATCAGCAAGGACAATTGAAACTCCGCCCGCAATTAACGGGAAATAGAAATTGCGAAATGATGCTTTAACCGGTACTATTGGGAAGCATACTGGATTTGTGGGGAAACAGTAAGGATCACATCGGAAATTCACGGTCAACCGACTGACGAATAGTAGGTTAATATGAGGTCATCTTAAACTTTACGGGAAAACATACAGTTATGGCCCTTTTCGATATACAAGCACTTTTTATAGAATGTATAATCCCATGAATATTTATGACCAGTTATAACTAAGAAATGGCCACAACTGTACGTAATAATTACCCATCTCAGCAATAACGTTATCCGACTCATTTTGTCATCAAGAACAGGTGACCTTCATTTGTTTGTTTTTTGTTTCTTTTTTCTACCTTTGTACCTATGTATATATGCATATATATATATATATATGCAGATATCATATTTATAAATACAAATATATATATATAATAATCATAATAATGTTGATGATAATAGTAATAATAATATATAGTATAATAGAATAGAATATAATATAATAGAATATAATATTATACAATAGAATAGAATATAATACAATATAATATAATATAATATAATATAATATAATTTAATATAATGTAATATAATATCAAATATTATTTAATATAGTAGAATATAATGATATAATAATTGATTTATTTATATATACACATTGATAGACAATACAATACCGTTTATGAGTATATCTTTACACATACACATATATAGACTGATCAATGAGAAATCCCCCGGGATTCTTGGGGGTGATTATTGTTTTTAGTTCCCCAGTTGGAATCCCATGCTGCTCATGGGGATCCCGCGATACCCTTCTGTAAAGGCCATAGAAATTGTGGGGATATTCCGGCAAATTAGGCTTGAAAAATAGACCATAAATATATGGAATCGGTACTGCACGTACAAAGGGATTCGCACGTTGCCAGGTCAGATTTAAAAGGGGGCACGGTCTCATTTACCATCAATTGCTTCACCTCTTTCTCATTTTTTTAAGTATAGAATTGCAAGGGTGCCATCACTGAATTGCATATGAGAAATGACAACAACAGTGGACACTAGTGGACGCTATTTGAAAAAAACATCAGCAATACCATGTCCTTTCAATTTTTAGTCAATAGTTTTCACCAATTCAATCAATGGCCATTTCAGGATCCTAAAATGGAGGTGCCTATCATATGTAAGGCCTATTTTTTAGGGCTATGTAAGGGAATATACACCCAAAATATGGCCAAACATATGGTACTAACGTACCTCCATTTTAGGATCCTGGAATTCCCATTGATTCAATACATCTTTTTCAGATCTTTGAAGTCCAATCCAACATGGACTCCCTTACCATAGGAAACCAGAGGAAAGTGGTGACTTACCATAGGAAACCATAGGAAAAATAATAGGAAATCATAGGAAACATTGCGATTTTTGTATCTATTTGTTATAACGGGTTATTTCTATTGGATTATACATTCTAGAAATGGGCTTATTTCAGTACAAACATCACTGGTATAACGAAAGGGCCATAACGGACCTGGTTTGCACGCAGGTCCCGTGATTTGGGTTTCGATGATCCAAAAGAGACACGACCAACAAACGCCCTCTGGTAATTTAACAGTTTGCTATTGAAAATGACCATTGAATAAATAGTGGATTTTCCCATTGAAAATGGTGACTTTCCATAGTTATGTTAGTTTACCAGAGGGTAAACCCTGGTGAACTAGGTCATTATTTTATATACATATTGGATTCTGTGTTTTCTTGATGGCATTGATTGGAGGAATACAGTATGTTTTTGTTTTTCCCTGCTTGTTTTTTTGCCGAATCCGAATGCCTAAGACATGATTTTCCATTTTCTTGGGCTAACGTTTGGACACCAAGGAAAAACCTGGGTGCTTTGCTGGCTTCGGTACCGAAACAGGGCGGATCTGATGGCGTCTATGCAGCCCCTCCGCCTGAAGGGGTCCATGGGGAAGGCAGGTAAAAACCATTAAAAACCAACGTAACGAGTGAAGGGCGGTGGAATGGTACAATGTGAGGCCCCCCAGTTATAAGTTGGTTTTTAAGCCCCAGTAACTATAGTTATAAGTACCAAAAGCCCTAGTTATTGGAGTTAGGCATTTGTTCAAAAAATGCCATAGAACAACGCACATAGACATCCAAAGTACCAAATGGGTTGAGGTAACGACCATACTGACTAGAAGCCCTCCAAACATGATCCAGTCATCCAATACAATGTGGGACCACCAGTTATAAGTTGGTTTATAACCCCCATTAACTATAGTCAGAAAAAAAAATATATTTATATAGGTACCATAAACCATAGTTATTGGAGTTATGTTCACCAACTTAGCTATCGAACGGGGGCCTCACATTGTACTATTTCTTGAGGGTGCTGTTTGGATGAACAAAATAGGTGTAACAAAAAGTGTGACCCTTGTCTGGTAATTACTCAGACAAGTTGGGATATAACCCCTTTTAACTACGGTTATAAGTGGAGCTGCATCCCCAAGTAATGGCTGAAAAAGTGAAATACATGGTGACTTGAACATCAAAACGCGGGTACAGCTAGTTTGAGTTAAATGGTAATTAAATGTGATGAGGTGAGCGGCTTCAATCTAGCCAACAAACCTGAAAGCTTTGAGTATTTAATCATTAAAGTTCGGATTAAAGCTGTAAGTTGGTTTAAAGACCCAACAAACATCATCAGACATCATCAGACATCATCAGACATCATCAGACATCATGTAACTATGATATACTATGATATACTTTTCATAAACCAGAATTACCTAAACCAACTTACTTTGCAGATGTTTTCGAATTCGGACACTCTATCGACCTTACTGAAAATACAAATTGAAGATGGAGCGACTTCAATCAATGTTTCATCGTCCTACAAAGTGGCCCCCAGTTACAATATAGTCATGGAAATTCACGAGCACAAATGGCGGCTCAATATGTCGTTTTTACATGTTTTGCTTTACAGTTTTACATTTATAAATGGATTTAAATTGAATAGTATGAGATCATGTTGCATAGTATCCATATCTCGAAGTACCTTGAGGTCATCATTCACATTAAACATGTGGTCATTCGTGTATATTTAATGTCTATTAGTGATATGCATTCAGTTTGAATAAATGAGGTGTATTACATTGTATCACCATTTTATCCCGTCACATCCACATTTGTCCTGGTTACCCTCTGGAAAACTAACATAGCTATGGAAAATTACCATTTTAAAGGTAATTTCAACTATAGATTGTCATTGTTCATAGCGTTAGTTTACCAGAGGGTATAGCTAAAAGTTCAATGCCCTTAAGGGATGTAACCAACTTCATCTGACGAAATGCCAAAAATCAATTGATGAAATCACAATTTGTGTCAATGACCCGGGGGTAGACTAACGTACGTTAGCGGAAACCCATGGCTTTCCTAGGGAAATCATCTAAAGAGTAAATCCATGGTGCTTTCCTCATGTCAGCCAGTCTAAATCCCACTTGTTGATGCCATGAGCGTTCAACCGACCCACCCAAGAATAGATCGTTAGTAAGCCCTTATGAACCTGGTTGTTGGTGGTGAACAAACCCTTTTAAGAGGCCCTTATTATTGGACGGCTTGTTAAATCACAAATCCCGAGTCATATCCATTCAATTCCATTATTATCATTATGGGTAGTTAAACCATGTTAAACGATAAAATGTCACAGGAAATCCCATTCAATCCTATTTTCCTGTACTTCAATAGCCACAACTTTGAATGTTTTTTCTTTTCCTATCCCCTTGTGTCCACAGTTCTGGCCATTTATTAGTTACAACATGTTACAACTGGTTATCCTATGGAGCATATACATTCTATAAATGGGCTTATTTCAGTACAAACATAACTGGATTAACTGGTATAACTCGGGCCACATGTTTCCACCAAGGCTGAGCTGCTTCAAGACTTCTTCTCCCTGGCTGGGATGCAAACGTTTCAACGGGGCAACCAACTCGAGCTGGACGCTCCGACGAAGCGATGTTTGCGGCAGATGCTGCCCAATGTGAAGGCCGGTCGCGGAGAAATCAACGAGCCGTGAAGTATGGCTCTGTTGTAGGCTATATATGCCATGTAATGTGTGTAAAACAATGTCATAAGCCACCCATTTCACCCACTTGGGAATTGTATATAATTACATGAGTATACCGTATACCAGTATACCACCTATTTATGGTGATGACTGGGGGATGGTTTATTATTGTGTTACCCACATTATACCCTTTGGTAGTCAAACATGGCTGGAAAATCCCCTAAAATGGAGGTTGATATGGAACAATCATCTACAAATGGTTTTTTTTCCTTTGCCATGTTTGATTGCCGGATGGTAATTCTTGGGAAATGACTGGAGAATAGGAATAAGATGTCAATTAAAGGCTTCTTGGGGTACTTTTCCAGGGATGATTGGGAGATATTGGTGGGATATTTGTAGGATATCGACTAAGAAGGGGGTAACTCTAATGAGGTTTGCTATTTTGGTGCTTAATCCTATCGTAAAGTTTGGTCAGTTCACCTCACTGAAATCAGTGGTGCAAAACCAGGGATCTGAGCTGCTGGGAGCCACCACCGCAGAGCCGGAAGAAATTCTTGCAACAGTTGAGCAAAACACTATAGAAATTCATAGCTTGTGTTGCAGTTGCAGGCTAAGAATTGGCATACATATATGATCCTACTTGGTCGTCAGGCGCCACAAAAAGCCTCAGTGTGGTCATATATGTCTCTGTCTAGTTCACCAAGTTTGACCGACCACCCGAATCAACAAATCGAGGTTTCGCTGGTTAGATCCCTACAATGTGGGCACCCCGCAAACACGATAAGTTGGGGGCCACATCACTTCAATAACTTTGGTTTATGATACCTGTAACTATAGTATTCATGGGGTTTATGAATGAACTTATAACTGGCGGGCCCCACAATGTAATTATTTCGATAGCAAAACAAAATATTGCTGTGCCCATTCAAGGGTTCTCCACCTACTCATGCATGTTTTCATCACAAATACGATCCCTGGGGCTCCAAGTTTGGAATTCAATTCCTGGATTTGCCGCTCAAGTCTCCATGTTGGGTTCAACCATCACTTTCACTGGATAAATTTGAGCTGGACAGTGACAACCCTATCCACCAACGGCTTGGATTGTGCTGACAACGTCGAAGTCTGAGAATTCTGTGAGTTTCGCCGTGGGGGGAGATGCTCCAATGATCCCATGTCACTGTCAGGGTCAATCTTAGATGGGTAGAAACTAATCCTAACTAGTCTTAGATGGTATCAATGGGAATATCTACGTTCACCAGCAAAGAATTTGTCATTTTTTGCAGGGTATCTAAGATTGGCAATGTCTTGCCACAGACAACCCTGAGCTAGGACACATTACTTGCCGGCTAACAATCTTCAAAGATGTGTAATTTAAGTATGTTTTAACTGTGTACTTTCCACGTCAAATCCAATGTGGGCAACCCAACAATGAATCGAAGCTACCATTAGGGGATGGTTTATACCACCCATAAAGTTGATAATGCTGATTCGGGGGATTGATTATTGTTGGTCCTCAAAAGAATCACTAAAAGAGTTTTATTCCCCACACAAAGAGGTTCTTGTTTTTGATTCTCTATCCCGCCGCCTCCTCCGCCTCCGCCGCCGCCTCCGCACACACCATCTTTCACACACAACTTTGTCACACACCTTTCACTGGCAGGCGTGGCACTTGGCGACATCCACCTTTGTTTCACGTGGCAGGCGTGGCACTTGGCGACACATACCTTCGTTTTGCGTGGCAGGCGTGGCACTTATAGGGCACTGGGCTGGCTCTGGTGGCGCGCTTGGACTGGATTAGTCGCCGCCGCGCCATTTTTTGCGTGGCAGGCGCTGCACACGGTGACATCTACCTTCGTTTCACGTGGCAGGCGTGACACTTGGAGACATCTACCTCCTGCGTTTGGCGTGGCAGGCGTGGTACACATTGCACTTGGTGGCGCGCTTGGTCGCCGTTGGTCGCCGTTGGTCGCCCGGGGCGCCGCGCCACTTTTTGCGTATCAGGCGTGGCACAAGGTGACATTTACCTTCGTTTCCAAGGCAGGCGTGGCATTTGTTTCAATCACGTGGCAGGCGTGGCACCTGGAGACATCTACCTGCGTTTGGCGTGGCAGGCGTGGCACTTGTTGCACTTGGTGGCGCGCTTGGTCACCGTTGGTCGCCGTTGGTCGCCCGGGGCGCCGCGCCACTTTTTGCGTGGCAGGCGTTGCACACAGCACTTGGTGGCGCGCTTTACCTGCGTTTGGCGTGGCAGGCGTGGCACTTGTTGCACTTGGTGGCGCGCTTGGTCGCCGTTGGTCGCCGTTGGTCGCCGTTGGTCGCCGTTGGTCGCCCGGGGCGCCGCGCCACTTTGCATGGCAGGCATGGCACAAGGTGACATCCACCTTCATTTCACGTGGCAGGTGCGGCACTTGCTGACATCCACCTTCGTTTCACGTGGCAGGCGTGGTACTTGGCGACATCTACTGAGGGATCTCCTGAGACTTATGGAGTTATAACACGAGTTATAACGTAAGTTAGCGATGGATAAGTCAGGATGTAATTAGCTAAGTAGCGCTGATGGTAAACATGTCTTGTGTCACCCTCCATGGTGCCGCAGCTGTCACAGGTGGAAACACTTCAAACAGTCTCGAAGCACGTAGCGCTTTCTGTAGCAGCTATGGAGGCTCCTAAGAAGAAACCGCGAGTGGACAAGCAGGGTCGAGCCACTGCGAATTACGTCCAAAGGACGTTGGAGACCTTGCACCACGCAAGGGAGCAGCACATCTATTCTCGTTCGTGGCCCTCTTCGGTGTTTCATGACACCTTGCGCCCCTCTGATAAGGCGGGCTGGTTTGCGGCCGCATATTTTGTCCTAAGCCTGCTGCAGGCTCAACTTCAGGCCTTTTGGCACTGGGTAGAGGAGTCCCCTTTGCCGGTTGGGGCGGTTGCGACCACGGACTGCATCACCTTTTTGATGCAGCTGAAGCAACGAAATCCTTCATTAGGGAAAATGAACTTAGGATGGACTTATGGACTTATAAGTAGCGTTATGCAACAGGGTGAAATAAAATAACAAAGGGACTTAGCTTTTTTCAAAACATAGAAATTTCGACGTTTCACCTTTCACACACACCACTTTGTCACACACCATCTTTCACACACAGCTTTGTCACACACCACCTTTGACACACACACACACCTTTTTCACACACCATCTTTCACCACACCATCCTTCACACACCACTTTCTCACACACCATCTTTCACCACACCATCTTTCACACACCACTTTGTCACACACCATCTTTCACCACACCATCTTTCACACACAACTTTGTCACACACCATCTTTCGCACACCATCTTTGTCACACACCACTTTGTCACACACCATCTTTCACACACAACTTTGTCACACGCTCTCTTTCACACACAACTTTGTCACACACCTTCTTTCTTTGTCACACTCCATCTTTCACATACAACTTTGTAACACACAACTTTGTTCCACTGCTCGATCCTCCACCACCTCCTTTGTTTTTCCTTCCTTCCCCGCCCCCGCTACAACATTTGGTGCTCATTATTGGAGGAAGTTGCCCTGTGGGGTTATCCGGTCCTTTAATTGGAAAAAAATCGTGAGGTAAAATCGGTTTCGTAAGGTCTTTTTAAGAAACCACCTTAAGTATCCCTAAGTCCTAAAGTCCAAAAAATCAGGCTGGTGGCATGGGTGAAATCTTTGGGACAAAGTGGTGCCCGTGTTTACGAAATCGCTAAGTTGGTACGTTTATAACTCCAATTTCATTAGGACTTGCGGTAGATATACCTATGGTTGGTTGATGGGGCTATAGACCAACAAACATAACTGGGGGGGTACCACATTGTAGGGTATTTAAGCCCTTGTTTCTCCTTTCCATGGATGGTCAATCTTGCTCCGAAGGAGCCTCCGGTTCAGTTGATGGTCTCCGTCCTCAATCAAAGCAAGGATTGGGGCCCGGGGTCTGGGACTCTTTGTTTGGGGTACCCTCTGGTAATTTAACATAGCCATTGAACATTGCCATTTATAGTGAATTTTCCCATCAAAAATGGTGATTTTCCATAGTTACATATGTTAGTTTACCAGAGGGTAAAGTACATATCCGGCGCCCACAAGATAGGTAGTTTCGCTCATGACTAGTGGATCATTCTCCTAATGGATATATCACAGTTGAATGTGTTTAGATCCTGCTTATAAACGGGGGCATGGCACCCTGTATATAGCGACATCCCTGGCCGATGTCATCGTCAATGATGGCTAGGACTGAGGAGAATAATCCTAAAGGCTGTGCTTATCTCTGGTTTATTTTCCCGACTGGTGAACAGTACAGTAGGTGCGCATGGGTTGCTTTTCCGATACCTTGTTTATCCTTTTTTTTGCGGGATATATACGGTTAGCATATCGGTTAGCCATGTCAAATCCGTGAAGATTGCACAAGAGCCGAAGTGAGTGGATAACGGATAACGGTCCCTGGAAATCCTCAAAAGTAAATCTGAAACTTGAAAACCAAATTTTCACAGCGTATGATTCACCATCAGTTCTGAATGCGGTAACCCAACTTTGAAACTGCAGTTCGGCAGTTCGGCTGTTCTTTTTGAAGCGGTAGATCCAAGATAATATATCTATGTCTACTAGATACCATCAAATAATTGGTTATTTGATGTTTATTCCCCTAAATATGGAAATGATATGAAACAATAGGTTTTTCGCACTTTCACATGCACGTCTCCGCACTTGCTTTTCCTTATCATTTATTTTTCCATTATCTACAGCCACCAGCTTCGCTCTGGCCAAGGGGTCATGAGCCGTGTTTTCAAAGGCCATATACGATCCATACCCATATAATTAAAGTCACCCAGCTTATGCCATTCCGTGCATCACAAAAGTGAGGGTTTAAACATCAACAAGCGGGATTTTTAAGCATCGAACATGCGATTTAACTGCCCAAGGGAATTTAGCAAAAATGGAGAGTGAGAGAGAGAGAGAGATATATATATATAATATGTATATATTATACCATATACATATATAGCCAACTTGGAAAACAAAGGGCATTTAAACTATCAACAGCTGACACATTGTGGGTAAGACTTGGTGAAGAGTGAACCGAGAAGCTTCACTCAGCAAACCTCACCCAAAGGTGACCCAATGATAACTGGTTCGTAAATGTTAGTAAGCCATTACTGTATGTCTTGTATGGTTGGTGGTTGATACGCCCTTAATGAGTTGGTTGAATCCCCATTTGAAGAAATGGATGCAAATGGAGGAATGCAGTATGTATTCATGTCACCAGCCAAACACAACACAAACTTTTTCCCGGGCTATCTACGACTGGCCATGTCATGAATTGCCAATCAGCAATGGTTCTAACCTTGATGTTGCCAGTGAAAGGCATGTTATTTTAGTTGCACGGCCACGGCCACGTTGATGTGTCATGTGTATCAGTTAAACTATGTTGAACCACCATTAAATCCATGGTTGGTTGAATATGGTTGTCTTATGTACTTGAGATTTGTTGGCGTTTGTTTGTTGGTGATATGTTCTTGTTTTGGTGGTGCTAATTTCGTGTTTGGTGACAAACGCTGATTCTGTTTGTTTAGCATGGCTATGGCTATGGATCAAAACCCAAGCACCCTGCTGAATATCAATATAAATATACTCTTATGTATATATATATATATACTGTATATTATAGCTGACAGTTCTGGATGCTTATTCCTCACTATATAATATCCCTAGGTAGTAAGCGGTAAGCTAACATAAAGGAGAACGCTCCTCCATTAGCAGATCATTTTCCTTAAAGAAACCATTGGTTTTCCACATCTATCTTAGTTTACCATACAATTATGGCAATTGATTAGCTATAATGGGATTATACATTCCATAAATGGGGTTTTGTTAGTACTTATAACTGGTATTTCGGCCCGTAACTGTAGGGTAATCTAGGGCACTTGCTTTCATTCATGCCCATCTCCATGTCCCCCAGCGTTGAGGAGCTGTGGCCCTCTAGTATTGAAGAGCCGGCCCACTCAGGGGAGCGGTGATCCTTGTGTTCGTGATTTAACATTGGATGTATTGGAGGACCATCATTTGGGGGGTGACAGTGATATGACGTGGATGGGATTCATTAAATGATTAAGGTATATAACCCATAGTATTCACCAAAAAAACTTAAACACGTGTTTCCAGAATGCTATAGGTGATGTGTTTCCCTTTGTATTTCCAAGTTTCCAATTTTTCTATCCTTTAGATTTTTAGGGGGTGGATGTATATACGGTGTGAGTTTCACTTATGGTCTCGGCAAACATAGCTGAGGCCGTTTCGCTGTTTTGGGGTTCTTGACCATCATCAACCCAAACATTGGACACATTGGAAACATTGGAAACATTGTGGTTCAATGGAATGATAATGGGATCATGATGAGACTAATGAATGAAAACGGATATGTAACTATACGTGGTTTAATGGTATATAGTTGATTCGGGAGAAATGATCACCCGAATTCCACCAGGTGGCGCCCCCAGTTTCTTGCCTAAGTTGGTAATGGATAGCTGTTTGGTATATGTTTATCACTACCCTCTGGTAAACTAACATAGCTATGGAAAAGCACCATGTTTAATGGGTAATTCCACTATTTCTATGGTCATTTTCACTAGCAAACTGTTAGTCATTATCAGAGGGTATAGACTGTCGCTGATGGTGGTGTTTACTGTCGCCAACCATCATGTTTGGGTCCGCACGGCTTGTACCAGCGGGGCCATTGTAATACCGTATACATTGGTTGAGGTGATCAGGATGTGCATAGTGGGCGAGACCTGTGAGACCTGGCGATTTCTGTGCCTATGTTTCTCAAATTCCGATGTTTGCCTTTTTCTGCCTAAAGGTGGGGCTCCCAAATTTGCCCTGTTTGCTACAAAGTGATGCCCCAGTTCGATAGCTAAGTTGGTGCAAATAACCCCAATGTCTAATGTCACTAGGACTTATGGTAGATATATCTATGGTTGATGGGGTCATGAACCAACTTATAACTGGTGGGGTACCACATTGTAGTTTATAAACATATTTTCTATAGACATATCTCAAAAGAAATCCTCGAACATGGGGATATTAACCCTGTTGAATAATGAATCCCATCATCTATATCCCTATCATCCTAGAAACTGATGATTTATATCCCCATAAATCCTCGGATTTTATAATTGGGGATATTACCCATCTATTGCCTGTGCTTTAGCAGTTTACCTGATGTTTACGGCTCTTTATGTGGAGGTTTCCTAAAATGCCGGTACCCCCAAATTATCCAAGTCATGGATGACCATTTTACTAGTGAAACGTATTGTTTTTGGGGATCCTCCATGTCAAGAAACCACATATCTACCATAATTCCTTGTTAAAATACTTGCAAACCAACATGTTCGCCATATATACTACAAAAGTTTGATTGAATTGGGGATATTGGGATTTAATATAACTGATTATCATGGGATGCCACTGCCAAAGGAATATTTTCATGTGAACCTACTTTTAAAATCTTACAAACCCACCTAGCTATCTCCTCACCTTATGCCTTCTCAATTTTCCTTTTTGCTGAGGCAGCCAAGTGTACAACTGCTAATTACAGATGTGTTCCTTGGCTCTGAGGGACATGTGGCGAAGTGGATTTTTGACACATGGAACTGTTGTGCTTGGAAGCGCAGTTCTAGTTATAAGTGGATATACATGCATGCATACGTACGTACGTACAAACATACATATGTATCATATATATATATATATATACACATATGACCAGACAATAGTTATCGTATATATATATATATTATATATATCTATCTATAGTTATAGAGCTGATATCCCAACTTATTGAGGTTTAGAACCACGGTGAACCAGCCATGCGTAACCTCAACTGCAGCCCCAAGTGGTGAACCCAAAATGGGTGTGGTACCCAAGCAACACACACATATGTGCCATGGTGAAAATTTGGGTGTGGTAAATTGCACATTTTTCGGGGATGGCCATCAATCCATTGATAGAAAATGTTTGTAGCCATTCTGCTTGGATTATCTTTCATGGATATCTAAAGGTAACCCTCAGTGGCCAACATATAAATATTGGTTGGTGGTTTGGAACATTTTTTATTTTTCCATATATTGGGAATAATCATCCCAACTGACTCATATTTTTCAGAGGGGTAGGGCTCTACCACCAACCAGCTGTATGTTTTTGGATCATCCAGCCTGCCATGAATTGGGTTTGTTAATCCGCAATTGTTCGGGGAGGTACCTGACCATTGGGTGGGCACCCTCAAACTGCCTTTTCAATAATTCATATAGAACCTATACATTATACTGCCAACAGAAATATTATTGATTTTACATGATTTCACAAAAAACAATTGAGTTTGACCTGTAAGCTCGGTTTTGGCTTAAACATGCGGTACCAATCGGCCAATGGACCCCACACAATTTTGTGGTTGCCAATCCAATTTTCGGTGTACGTCATTGTGAACTACAGCGGTCAGCAGCATGGAACATGCAGCAACCACGTATGGGGATGTAATGACGATTTAAAGGGGGATGAAATCAGGTTTTGAGCCACTATCTATCTTACTTATAATATCATTTAATCGAGTTTTAACGGGATACACATAATTTTACCAGTTCCTTGTTAATGTATCTTGGCCGTATGTATATATTTTTGGATGACAGCGGTTTCTATCGCTGTCAGGATATCATGTCATTATGCCAATATATAACGAAAAACCTTGGTGCAGTAGTGGATCTGTTCATGCCTGGGGTTTTCATGGCTTCAACCAGTTTCCCCTATCAGTCAGGTCACCCCGAAAAAGAATGTTTGGGAATATGAAGGCCGAATCAGAAACAGCAACTTTATAGCCCAATACTATCAGTTTATAATGTTTTATTAGCAGCTATATTAACATGTTTATATTGGTTTGTTCTAGTAACTTTATTAACCAGCTATTATTTGATCAGCTTATATGGCTTCGATAATGTTATAAACCAGCTATTCTTCAACCAGCTACTATTGTTTGGGGGAGTCACCTGGCTGGGTGGGTTGAATGACGGATCGTAACCCTTTTTCTGGGAAAACCTTCCATTGGCAGGTTCGGTTTATACGTCAAACTTTAGCCACATGTGATCACCTCTATCATTAAATCAACTAATCTGATCCCTCTGGGTGGTGGTGAAATGATGATAATTCCAGGTGTTTAGTTGTTAAATCAATTTAAATCATCCTTTTCAGTCGTTAAATCACCACGTTCCGTGGCTAAATCATGTTAAGTCACATTTTTTTGGCGCCAAAAAATCCAGTTTCCTACGCAGCGGCTGAGGCGCGGCATGGTGGCCGAATTCGATCGCTACTTGAGGCAGCGGGCATGGCGTCAACATTGGAAGGTAGTAATAGATGTATGTTTGTCTAAAAATAGGTTACCCCTAAATCCTTTTAATCATGATTTTCCCTATTCAGTGGCAATTTATGGGTATACCCCGTTTTCAGACAGACCATGTAGATAGTTCTATTGTGAATTGTTGTGAGTGGTTTCTTGTATAGAAAGGTGGAGGGAGGAGAGGATAGAGGTGGAGGTGAGGTGAAGAGATGGAGAGACAGAAGGGTAGATGGGCGATGCGGAGATGGAGAAGTGCCATGTTTGATGACACAGGAGCGTATCCCGTACGTTCCGCATATTATTACTATATATTATCCCATATTGTGCCATATTGTGCCATTATAATGAACCCATATTATACTATCTGTTCTGCATAGCATGTTATATGAATCCCGTTTTATAACCACAATATCCCATTAATCCGATGTATAAACCATTAATATTGTTGATCAATCCACTACATATCCCATGTTAATATACAATGTGGGGCCCCCAAACGATAGCTAAGATGGTGAACATAACATCGTTTATGATACCTATAACAATAGCCAATGAATTTATATAGCAACTTATCACAGCAGGGACTTATCACATGGATTTACAATCCCACAATTTTAACAGCTCATTTTATAATCCAATATTACTATTGTTGATAACCCATGTTCCCCTGCATTTTTGCATGTTATCATCCAATATTATTATAACCCATATATAACCCATATATATATATCATATTGTTATCCCATTATAGTCCCAATTATATGTCGTATTTTCCCATTATATATCCCATAAATAATCATATTTATAACTTTTCCCATTATAATAATCCATTGTTGCTAAATCTGAATCTAACCCATTGCAAATCCGCATTAAATATCATATAACCCACATATCATAGTATATTTCGCCGTATATTGTATATATAAGTTTACCATTTATATGTAATATATATATATAGATCTTATAAATGGTAAATTTATCCATGTATATTTTGATTGTAATATGATATATCATTCATCCGCCATTTATTGTACCATCTATTATATATCAACATATGTTGTATTTTCCAATTATATAGCAACAATATCCCATTAATGATGATTTGTGTATATCTATATTGTATATAAACCATTATTATCGTTCCATTCATTAAATCATAAACCCATATATATTTGTATGTTATAAATAACTCATATTTTAATACATATTATAATTCATTAAACAATATGTTGCTTGTTCCATTTTATTTTCTATATTACATATATAACATGGGATATGGATAATAATAACTATTTCCATATATAAAACTGATTATATAGATTAAATTGTTCCATTCTATATCCATATATAAACAAAAAATGATTGGGATCATTAAATATAGGATATTTATATTTATTATATTATATTGTATTGTATTATACTATATTGTATTGTATTGTATTATATTATATTTTATTTTATTATATTATATTATATTATATTATCTATATAATATATCTATATTATTATTATCTATAGGATTATAAACCATATGATCCCATGTATTAAATCCTCCAGTTTTCTTCGTGGCGCTTCCCAGGGCGGTGGAGGGACGGCCCACGCGGATGCCTTTCAGGCCCATGCTCTGAGCAGCTCGGTTAAGCGATGCCTGTTCGTTAAAGGATGGCAACGGGAGATTCCTAGCAAAACTATGGGAATATGTGTATATATTTATATATATATATAAAAACTGAATGGGAACATATGATATATCATGGTTTTACCAACAATAATGATGGTTTATATATATATATCGCTATTAATGGTACATTGTTATATTACGGGAATATATGGTGTGTATATATAATGGATGATTAACAATAATAATATGGGATTATAACATGGGTTGTTGTTAACTTAAGGATTTGATTACGTCACAATTATCAATGGATTGGTTTAAACGAAAATCTACAGGAAACCATTGTTTTTCCCATGAAACATCGGGGTTTCCTGCATTTTTCCCCTACACCAGTCTATTGAGGGATTGAATTGGACATTTGATATCACTGATTGTCCAATGGATGGGAAAAGATTTAAATAGAAAATAATGTGTTTTTGAGAGGATTTAGATGGAAATTTAGGGACATTGCCACAGTACTTCATTGGACAACTAGGGATTCTTCTTTGGACTATGCAGTTGCAAGGATAGGGATGAACCAACCATTTTTGGATGAGAATCTACTAACGACAACTGGAAAGATCATTGTGCTACGCAACGTCAGGGTTACTCTTTCCACCACAAGACTGGTAACCAAGAAATGTATGATATACTTGAGTTTTTTTCAGGTGATGTCTTATTTTCCCAATGGGAAATCCACCATTTGTGGCACCGATAGTGAATATGTTTTGGAGCCCCTCAAGCAAATCCAAGTATATGGGAATCATGATTGATACCCTCCGGCGTCATCAAACGTGGCTAGCTGGGAAATGGCTCATAAATGGAGGTTTCGGAAATGGTTCATAAATGGAGGTTTCAATGGGAAAATCATTTATAAATTGCGTGATCGTCCATTGCTATGTTTGATTCCCGGATGGTAAACAGAAAAGCAAATTGGTTTCTGAGATATACACCTGGGCAAATTATAACGACCTCACTGCGACCTCACTGGAATCATGGTTAGTAAGGGTAACTAACCCAAAATAGCCTTAATTCAGGTTTGTGGATTATTGTAATTTACCCAGATACATGTTTATGATATTTTATAATTAGATACTGGTTGAAGCCAGGGTTATTATATAATTAATAAACATTTACAGTTGTCGTAGGGTTTATATACATGTTTATTTATAACTCATTGTTATTGGTTTATGAACTACAATAACTGTTTGTTCAGAATGGTGGATATGTCCCCAGTTTAATGGGTGAACATCAACCCAGAAACATGATAGGGGGGTGGTGGGCAAGTTAGTCAGTCTCCTAGCTAGGGTTACGGTACCCCATAAAAGTATTACCATCCGGTTATTTATTATAGCTATGGAAAATGGCAAATTTATAGATGATTTATGGTGATTGATTTACCGTTCTGAATCATGGAGATTTTCTGATTTTCCAGTTCGCAACTGTTAAATAACCAAAGGGAAGCCATGTATGCTCATTTTTTCTCACGGATCTTCCAAAAATCACTCTCGAGATCTGGATACCCTCTGGTAAACTAACATAGCTATGGAAAATGGCCCTTTATAGAGGATATACCCCTTAAACATGCTGATTTTCAATAGCTACAATGTGGTGCCCCTGCTTACGAAATCGCTAAGTTGGTGAGCATCACTTCAATTTCACTATGGTATATAATAACTATAACATCCTATAACTATATAGTATTCATGGGGTTTATAAACAAATAAACATCACATTTTCGGGGCACCACATCGTATGTTGAATCATTCACCGTGCATTGGGATGAAACCTCGAAAATTCTGCCACCCCCACACATGGTTTTATGCCTCTGCTCAGGTGTTGCTGCGCGAAAGAGTTTCATGCCTCAGGTGCCGAAGAGTGCGTAGAGTTGTGGAAATGTTGGGATCCATACATGTGGATGAGATACCCTTTGGATCCCTGTTCGAATTTCCCATACGGAATGGGTGGCCTTAAGGCCACTACAACATGTTTTTGATAGGTCATTTTGTAGGGAGGTCACCTTGTAAAAAGGTCCAGGGCCCATTTTAACTTTGGCAGAGCATGGCAGTTTGTAGAGAAAATATCGGGGCCCATGGATGAAGATAGAAATAAGTTTCAAAAAGGGAATAGGCCAAGCACTTTATAATGAAATTACCGGGTCCCACGGAGGACTCTTTAAAATTGGAACCTCTGCATTTTGTAGTGAATCCATTGGGTTTCTGGAAAACATGTCACATGCAGTGATTTTGCTAAAGTATTCCACGTGTAATTCAAATTGTTGAAATACCGACAGACCCAAAATATCGCCTGATTCGCATGGTTTCTGTTTCTCTATCTCTCTCTCTCTCTCTTTTCTCACTCTTTTGTGTGTGGCGAATTTATGTTTTAAACACGCATGTTTGATTTGTATAGCCACCCCCCATCACGCTCCTACAAAATGACAGGTCTTCTGCCAGAACGTCTACAACATGGACTGGTGTGTTGTCTTTTTACCTTCCTTAAAAAAGATCGCAACAATGTATAGTGAAACTATTCTCTTCCATGTCATGCCCCTACAAAATGACAGGTCCCTTTCGAAACCCCTACAAATGGGTGTTTGTTCTTATTTTCTTGCTTCACATGCTTCAAAAGGTCTGGCTCCAGACTGCGCAGGATATTTTCTTCCGAGCATTTATACTTTTTCTGTTTCCCCATCATGCCCCTACGAAGTGAGAGGTCCCCGTCGAAACAGCTATAATATGGTTTGGTGTTTTGCTATTTCCTGTGCATAGCTGAAGAAACCCAAAGGGAAGTAATAAAAAGAAAATTTGAGTCAAAAGTCATACTTATAGTATTTGTGTGGTGTTTCTATTCCCACGTCCCCCATCATGCCCCTGCAAAATGACAGGTTTCCTGCCAAGCACCTACAAGATGTGTTGGTGTTGTGGTTATCTTTCTTTTTCTCAAAGATGCAACTTAAGACTTCAGTCTGTTCAAAACTGTTTGGGTTCTTGACACCCATCATGTGGTTCCTTCCAAAAGAAACACACAGAGAACAACATGATACAGTAACTTGCTAATTTGTTTCCTCATGGTTTTGAGTTTTGAGACGGAAAAAATGCAGCGAACCCTTCTGTGGTTTTACCCCCTTCAATCTGGGTTTTTGGTGCATTTCGGGTTTACTACAAAATGTGTTTCTTGAAATTGATCACGCAAATCGGTTTTGGATTTGTTAGACTGCTCAAGGCCCATATGAGCAATTTTTTTGTCTACAAATTGGGTCCTAGATAGTGGCTAAAAACATCTAAAAAACAGCTTTTGAAAACCATTTTGATGAAAAAGTAGAATGAGCACCCTGTTTTAACATCTTTTCGGTGCTCATTTTGTAGTGAAGAAGCTTATCCAGGGCCCGGATTTAGTAGAGAGAGTTTCCATGCAACCCATTTTGTAGACTCAGGTCCGGCATTTTGTAGAGAAAAAAACGGGGCCACTACTAAATGGGTGGCTCCAACCCCACATTCCTTTGGTAATTAAACATAGCTAATGAAAATCACAATGTTGAATGGGTCGGTATATTTTGCATAAATGGCTATGTTCCATAGCTATGTTAATTTACCAGAGGGTATATGGACATGGGGTTGGGTCAAAACCTATGACTGGGGGAATAAACATCCAGCTATACCAGCTAAAACTTAGGGTACCATCCGGGTGCCAATGTTTTGGCTCATTGCCATATATAGTGCAGTAGATGCTCTGCGGAGATACTTGGACATAAACCCACCCAACAGGTCTAGGGGCATACCTCAATTCAGAACAATCATGTGGCAGTATTCCTGCTCGTGCGTTGAACATCCAGAGAGTGTGAATTACACAAGAAAACGCTGGCCTAAAATCAATTGGTCACTCTCTCACTCTCTCTCTATATATCTATTATATATATATATATACATAATACATATTCAATTCACTTGAAATAATCTAAGAATTGCTGCAACCATGGGCTCAAAAAAAGGTTCATTTGAAACAGACCGAAAGAAACATTTCGTGGTTTTCTGTAGGGCCATCCCAGGTTTGAGATGGATCCGTAGTGGTACCAAATGCCAGATACAGTATACCTCATTTCAACCCTGATGATCATCGGGGCTTTGAGGCTGCTGAACCATCGAGATACTGAGTATATATAGATATTGGATTTTGTTCGGCCAGATGTATCCAAATTGTTTTATCCCCGCATATCTACATAGTATAACATAGTTGTTTTTTGTCCAAGGACGTTGGGGCTCCACTTGAAACTTTGACATGGCATTGGAATATATGCGGATATTGGGCGCCAATAGGATCGCCATTTATAGAATGTTTATCATATTATCCCTGTGGACTTTTGATCAATTGTATGATTGCAAGAATTGGAAATCATCATTCATTGTACTTTCCAGCTTTACATTCACATTTCTGAGAACACTTGTTGAGATGAACATTTATTGTTCATAGCATTCAAAACATTAGGCAATATCATACACAATGTTCGAAACATTATACTATATATACTGTTCATTTACTGTTCAATACATTATCTAAACATATCTATATATATGTACAACAACATAATAAACATAATAGTAGTCATAATAATAACAATAATAATAAAAATAACAATAATAACATTTAAAATTAATAATAATGATGATAATAATAATAACATATATATATATATATATATATTATGTACACATACATATCATCCCAATTCTTCCAGTATCGTTGAGAACATGTGACATCTTCACACACTTCTCCGGTCTGCCGTCGAGTGCTACCCTCCATGGCGTCCTCCGCGGCGGATGCGCCGGCACCGGCGGCTGCCGCGGCTGCGGATGCAGCACCGGTGCTGAAGCGTGCGCAACTGAAAGGGCACAAGGAGCCACGGAACGGGTCAGCCAAGGGGTTCATGCTACAAGCTTGGTTCGCCTGGTTGGATGTAATGATGTACTCCTGCCAGATACAATGGCGTCACATTGCCGAAGTTGAACTGGGAGTTCATAGAAGAACTTGCCAATGAATAGCCCACGATCACCTGTGTATGAACCCACTTCTAGATTATAAGTACTAAAGATAAGCACATCACTACAAATTGGGACCTCAATTGATGGTGTTCTCTTGGTTTATAGCTACAACGAGGACTCGGTGTTGTGCTTGGCCACTGACACAAACAGTCGACTGGCATCTGGTAGCGCAGATGGAATGTGCCGTTTATGGGTGCCTTGCCGGCCTTGGTGTGAGAGGTGAGGATGGGGAGTTGTGTCAGCTACAAATGTTTGGCCCTGCAATTATTAAGTTTTATGGGATTTTATGGGATTGTTTTTTTATATATATATATATAATAATGAATATGTATGCATTACCCTTCCAAACAGCCCAACCATTTTATGGTTTAGTTGAATGGGAATTCATGGGATTCTTTGATGATTAGTAGGGATTACCCAACAAAAATGGTGATATTCATGGGAATTAATTCTCCTTTGGTAATCCGCTCCATGGTTTGCTGGAAAATCCATCATTTAGTTCCATGAATTTCCCAGCTATATATGAACATCCATTTATTTCCTGGCTTTTCCATTGCCATGTTGTTCATGTTTGATGACCGGAGGGCAAATGACTGTTAAATAAATTATCCCTCCAAACATAGACCCTGCCATGAGCTGGAGGTTGGAAATTGAGGTTCCTCTTCAAACGGACGATCCTCAATATCTACGTCGGAGGGATCGAATATCCCAAGATATCCCAATAAAACTGGGGTTAGGAGGTACCATAACCAGGCTTTGGTGATTCCAATATACCAATAACTGGTTGGTGGTTTGGAACATGATTTTCATCCCAACTGACTAATATTTTTTCAAAGAGGTAGGTATACCACTAATCAAATAATATGGATACCATAACTCATAACTAGGCTTAACTTCGGTTCCCTGCTATTGCTTTGCCCATCAAACCAATGCCCAAGCCCGCAAAGGTGAGCTTCCCAACACGCAGGTTAAATTCTGGGGGTCACCTTTGTGGGAGGTTAAATTCCAAATTTTCCATAAATATCTGGTTGGTTGTTTGGAACATTTTTTATTTTTCCATGTATATATATATTATACATATATTGGGAATAATCATCCCAATTGATTAATATTTTTCAGAGGGGTAGGGCTCTACCACCAACCAGGAATGGCCCATTTTATAGACGGTGAAACCATGTGAAACCATCATTTTTCATCATGTTTTCCCATGAAATCCTTAGGATCATGTGAATTGACCATCCATGGTGGGTGTTCAGCAACGAACCCTAGAGGTTTGTGAGACAAAATTGGTGGATACTCAAACGTTTACATAGCTATTGAAAATAACCATTTTTTAAATGGGAAAACGGAAACTCACTATAAATCACAATGTTCAATAGTTTTTTGTATGTTTGCAAGAGGGTATACGACGTGACAATTTGATAGCAAGTTTATATTTATCCCTTTGGACCATTTGAGAATATATATTTGATATTTGATATATGATTGATACCACGTTTTACAAATTGGACACTTTGATACAGGGTACTACTTGTAACTACATTTGTTCAAGATTAGGCTAATTGTTGGGTGTTGTGGTGATGAAATATCGAACTAGTTCCTGTAGATTGAATTACCCTCTGGTAATTTAACATAGCTATTGGAAATGGCCATTTATAGTTGATTTACCCATTAACAATGGTGATTTTCCATAGATGTTAGTTTACCAGAGGGTATAAACCAAATCACTAATGATTGCTACAAGGTGATGCCACCTGGCTATGTTAGTTTATTTATGCTATCGATCTCACTCGAGTTTTTTGATGATCACAAACCCAAGGTGTTGAAAGGGACGTTCCCAGCGTTCCCAGTCATTTTTGGAGTAATTGAAACCACCATGTAAAGCGAACTGCTGGCCCATTTCACCCTAGATGGATGATGGCGAAGATTGAGGACATAGATGTCCCAAATTCCCATCGATTGGTTGATAGAAGGGTTTGTTTAGAACCCCCTGAAAAACAACAGGTAAATGTTTGATGATAGATGGGATTAACCAGCTCCCGGCCCCTCTACCTATGTTCACCAAAAGGACATTGTTGGTTATTTGATGATCACAAACCCAAGTGACATATTTTCTGAACTACTCCAGCTTAGCTAACTTAAACTGGGGCACCACTTTTTATTTTTCAAAACTGGGAAAATTATTGTAAACCATGGGATGGCCCTTACATTTTCCCATGGGAATCGGTCAATACTTACAATGTGGGGCCCCCAAACGATAGCTAAGTTGGTTTATAACTTCAATAACTTTGGTTTATGATACCTATGTATATATATATATATTTTTTAATAACTATAGTTAATGGGGTTTATAAACCAACTTATAACTGTGGGGCCCCACATTGTATTGGATGATTGGATCATGTTTGGAGGGCTTCTAGTCAGTATGGTCGTTACCTCAACCTCTTTGGTACTTTGGATTTATTTCTATGTGCGTTGTTCTATGGCATTTTTTTGAACACATGCCTAGCCTTAAATTTCGGCAAAAGGTAGTATATCTACACTTGGATGTGCATTAGCTAGTCTATAACTGAGGGCTCCTTGCTGGATTCCTGCAACATTAGATAGTATTTATTTCTTGCTGTCCATCTGGGTTTTTCTGAAAATAGGGTACCCCAAAAGTTGCTGATCATCATTTCTCCACCCGCATGAAGCCTGCAATTTTATGGGCTAGCGCAAAGAAGTTTGATCAAATGAATAGATCCATTGATCCCCACTCCCCTTTTTTCGTCTCATAATAGCTACATCACATCATGAAAAAAAACACATGTTGTTAGTTGCATCCCATTACAGTATATTCAGTAATGTTGGCTGCCTAATAGTAATTACCCCCCCTATTTTTTTTAAAGGGGGGGGTCAACCTTCCTATAATAATTTTTGGGAATCTATAGCTGGGATCATGATATGTATCTGATAGATTCTCGAGTGGCGAAGAGATTGGCGAAGAGTTGGCAAGGCGGAAGTGGACATGGAAGTGGGGGCAGAGGTGGTGGAGGCGAAGGAGGAGGACGAGGAGGAGAAGAAGGAGAAGAAGGAGAAGGAGAAGGAGAAGGAGGACAACAAATTGGAGTTGCGGAAAGCAGTTTCCACTATTGCCATGCCTGGTGCAGGTTTGTTATTGCTATTCTGGGGCTTGCAAAGGGGTACCCTTTGTGGACCTGTTTTCTTCAATTTTTATATAAGAATTTAATAAGGAAATCACCTGTTTTGGAGTGGGATCAGATTTCTGGAATCTAGGCTTTTGCTAATCAAAAGTGAAGGCTTCTTTGAAAAGGATTTGCTTTACTTGATTCTTTTGGCAATACTAAAAGTGAATGGAGCTATTTGACTTTTAGTATTGGAGAAAAAATTGGAGTTGGGAAAAAAGTTTCCACTATTTGCCATGTTGGGTCCACTATTGGCCATGCCCTCTGGACAAGGTCTGAACATGACTCTTTTGGCAATACTAAAAGTAAATGGAGCTAATTGACTTTTAGTATTGGAGAAAAATTGGAGTTGCGGAAAAATGTTTCTACTATTGACAAGATATCACTATTGGTCAGACAACATTATATTATTGTGATGAAGATATTGCTCACTATTGATCATCCCCATATAATAGGCTGCACATGGCTGCACATCAGCAATCATTCCACAAAAAAACAATCTCGGGATATGTGCCACTTCAAGACACACCAAATTCCCACATTGTTGGATGTATCCCACGAAAAATCCCTATATTTGCTAGTTAAATGATGTTCTTCACCCCGTTTACGATGGGTGAACCACCATTTTTACCACCATTTTACCGACGATTTCCATTATGCATCCATTATGTCCATTTATATCCCAGTACCTCTTTATTCATACAAAGTGGTGCCCCAGTTCGATAGCTAAGTTGGCGCGTTTATAACTCCAATTTCACTAGGACTGGTAGATATATCTATGGTTGATGGGGTTATAAACCAACAAACATAACTGGTGGGGTACCACATTGTAAATGATTTGCCATTCTGTCCCCACTACAACCCATTATACCCCCCACCAATACCAGCAATTTTGGTAGTTGCAGACCAGAGAATCAATATTAAGACCCCTTGATATCACTCCAAAACCATGAACAACAACAAGTGAATTTAACAGAGGGTGATATGGTGACAGATTTCCTCCATTAATTTACCCTCTGGTAAACATACAAAAAACTATTGAAAATTGCCATAGAAATAGTGAATTTTCCCATTCAAAATTGTGATTTTCCAGTTCGTTATGTAAACGTTTACCAGGCCGGGTATTCTCGTCGTCAACCTCGAATGCTACCGATTCACCATGGGGAACATAAAGTAGGCCCAACGATTTATCCAGCGACAAGAGCCAACAGAAACAATCTTAATGTTTTTTCGTGCTATAAACAGATTGTTATAAAGTAGAAATAGAAGTATGGAATCTTACTAAAAATAAATTTTTCTTGCTATAAACAATCTTACATCCAAAATAGAAGTAATGCTATGAACATCTATAAACCACCGCTCGCTGCTTTCCCCCCAGCAAAAAATATAGAAATGCCCATGCAAGCACAACGTCGCAAAAGGTTCTCCTACAGTTATGGCCCTTTACCAGTCATAAGTACTTATAACCCCATTTATAGATTGTATAATCCCATTTATAACCAGTTATAACTAATAAATGGCCATAACTGTAGAATATGTTCCATTAGGCCAAACTACATCAATCTAAATCAATTTTTTTAACAGGTTGGAACGCCAGGGGGTGGTGTTGATCCAGATCCACCGCAACCTACTGAAGAGGAGCTGAACGCGGCCTGGGCACGTTCAAAAGAGCGACAGGATAAAGATTATTGGGAACGTCACGTTGAGACACTTGCAGAGCGCCGACATCGTCAAGCTCTAGACGCATACAATCAATCGGAGAGGCAGAAGCAAAAACATAATAAAGTTAAGCCTCCTGCTAAACAACCTCCAATTGTAGTCCCTCCGAGACCCGATCGTCCTGTACCAAAAGCCCATAAGTCCGCGTCCCCAAAACCAACTCCACCTTCAACACCGCCATCAACACCACCATCACCACCTCCGAGACCTAAGGTATGATGTGGTAAAGCCCGTGTATCCCCACCAATCATCCAAGATCTACCGAGGACCTGCGGTCTTTTCGGAGTGTGCGTGCTGCGCAGCTTCCCCCAGAGGGCGCTGAAGAGGCGGGGAAACAAGTTTGGGGATCCAACATTGGGGGTGTACCCTCTGGTAATGGTGATTTAATAGGGATATTAACGGTGATTTAGTGTTACTGGGGCTTATAAACCAACTTATAACTGGGGGGTCTCACATTGTAGCAACCATGGGAATATGTTCATGATGTTTACCATCATATTTGCTAGAAATAGGGATATTATTCAAATGGTGATTTAATGCTGATTTAATGGTGATTAACCCTCTGGTAATGGAATATTAATGGCTGATTGGTGGTTTGGAACATTTTTGGTTTTTCCATATATTGGGAATAATGATCTTCACTGACTTTCATATTTTTCAGAGGGGTAGGTATACCACCAACCAGGTATGCATTGGAATATACGACGTTACAATGTGGGGCCCCCGTTTACGAAATCGCTAAGTTTGCTTATAACTTCAATAACCATGGTTAAAGGATACCTATAACGATAGTTAATGGGTCTTATAAACCAACTTATAACTGGGGGAGCCCACAGTGTCTAATACAATATATATAATTATATATTTATACTTAATTAATATTGTCAATATATAAGATACACATTAAAATACAATATGATATATGATGACATATGATTTACAATATATAGTACATTATTGAGGTTTTGCATGGCACAAATGCCCTGGAATTACTGGATCCATGATTCACAAAACCAGGTTTCTGGCGTATCTCTGTCTTCAGCTCGACCACACTTGCGACTCGGAGAAGCAAAGGCGTGGGAGGATCAGTGGGTCACGTGAATTTGTTGCATGACACTCTGGCAATCAAAGATGGCCAACTACAAGAATCATGACAAGGATGCGGAGGTGTCCAACGACAAGAGGAAGAGCAGGTAGTGGTCAGAGCCCGTCAAGGACAACAAGCGGGCGAAGAATGACGAGGGGGTCAAGGGGATCGTTTGGAACAGGAAGCTCTGCCCGTTTCAGGCCGTGGTGCCACGTGGCAGAGTGTTCCAGAACCTGATAGTGGGAGGAGCCCCGAGAGAGGTGGACAGCGGCTACAGAGTCCTGAAGCCGTTCAGCGATGTGGTGGGGGTGGTGGTGAATTGCCAGTGCCTTGATAAGGGCCAGAGCCTCATCGAGCACACGGCGTTCAAAGGCCTGTTCATCGTGACCGCCAACCCCAACTTTCTGATGGCAATGGAACATGAACCACTTGTAGATGTTTTATTTTTCAAACCTCCAGTTTGGGATTGTCAATTGCCATGTTTGGTTTCTGGAGGGTGAATGGGAATATGAATTTCACGATGATTTAGCCAGTAAAGGATGAGAACTTAAATGGGAACATTGACAAGAAATCGTTGTTTAAGAACCAGTAAATTGAGTTTTTTCATCAGTGAACAAAGATAACCAAACACAATAAATTAAAATAGCAGCAGCAGCAGCAACAACAACAACAACAGCAACAACAACAACAACAACAACACCGACACCAACAACAACAACAACAACAACAACAACAACAACAACAACAACAAGAAGAACAAGAACAAGAACAATAACAACAACAACAACAACAACAGCAACAACAACAGCAACAACAACAGCAACAACAGCAACAACAACAACAACAGCAGCTGGCAACCCAATCACAAAACTCCCAACTCAACATTTCTTGGAGTTAGTTCATGTAGAACTAGATTTTAATTGGGATCTTAATTGCCCAGACAACATTGTCCACCAAGTGTAGCCATCATGGTAACTGGCCAGTAGTCAAACTTTGGTGATGGTGTGTCCTGTGTGGGTTCTTTCATATGTGGTATGTGTGTGTGTGGGGGTGGGTCAAAACCCTTGAGATGTAGGGCTTTGTTCCATGTGTGATGCCAGTGTCTTAGTACCGGGTGGGCACGGGGTTCACCATTTTTTTATGGCCAGTTCAGGATCCTAGATTGGAGGTGCCTACCATATATAAGGCCTTTTTTTTAGGCCTAAATTCCAGGGAATATCCCCACAAAATATGGCCAAACATATGGTACTAACGTACCTCCATGTTAGGATCCTTTTTTTATTCCCATTGATTTGTGATTTGCTTTATTCTTCAATCTACAGTAACTAGTTCGATATTTCATCACCACAACACCCAACAATTAGCCTAATCTTGAAAACATGTACAAGAAGTACCCTGTATCAAAGAGTCCGATTTGTATAACTTGGTATCAAGCATAATTACATCACATATCAAATATCAAAGATACATCTTATGTCCTGGGCAAAAAACCGCACCAGTTTGAAACGGCACGTGTGGTTGGAAGATGTTGGAACTTGAAAGTCACACCGTGATCTAAGGTGTCGGATGCCATGGGACCTTTCGGTTTTCCAAGAGATGACGACAGAACTGGTGATTTCATAGGAATATAACTACAATGTGAGGCCCCCTTATACCCTCTGGTAATGACTAACATAGCTTTTGAAAATTGCCAGTTATAGTTGATTTTCCTATTAAACATGGGGCTTTCCATACAATGTGAGGCCCCCGTTCGATAGCTAAGTTGGTGAACATAACTCCAATAACTATGGTTTATTGTACATTATAGTTACCGGAGCGAATCTAAACCAACAAACATAACTGGGGGGCCTCACATTGTAGCAACCATGGGAATGGGAATATGTTCATGATGTTTACCATCATATTTGCTAGAAATAGGGATATTATTCAAATGGTGATTTAATGCTGATTTAATGGTGATTGACCCTCTGGTAATGGAATATGAATGGCTGATTGGTGGTTTGGAACATGAATTTGATGACTTTCCATTCAGTTGGCAATTTCATCATCCCAACTGACTTTCACTCCATCATTTTTCAGAGGGGCAGGGCTCAACCACCAACCAGCTATAGTTCCAAGTACCTTCTGAGTTTTTTTTTGTGTTTCTTGCAGGTTTCGATGATCCCGGTGTTTGGTTTTCTGGTTGGATGTCCAAGACAGTCAGGTCAGATTGGTTTACTGATTCCGAATGGTCCAAGATATGCGGGGGTAGCCAAAGGTTTGCATTCCCCTTTTGAACTTGGAGTTTGGGTCAAACCAGTGCTACCAAGAACCATTTCAAGGCGGGCAAACATCTAGTTCTACTGGTGGGACCAGGTTCTGATTTCAACGCCTCTTGGATATTCTATGGTCTAAACCAAGGTTGAATCCCCATGGATATAGAATTAAGATGAATTAAGCGCGTTGAAACTTGTTCAAGCAGTAAGAACTGACATCTGCCTAGATTGATGAAATGGGCAGTTGAATTGTTGTCTTCACCTTCTGGACCCTAGCCATGTGGTTTTCCCAAGCATTCAAACATGTTAGCAGAATCTGCCTTGCAACAAAGTGAAAGGCTGAATATTTCTGGTGTCTACAATCTGGGGCCCCCAAGTTATGTTTGTTGGTTTATAAACCCCTTTAACTATAGTTGTAGGTATCATAAACCATAGAATTCAGCCACTTATGAGGCAACGGTTCACGCTATCGTTTGGGGGTCCCACATTGTGGGCTTCCAATTTTTTCGCTCAGCACGGCTTGCCCTTCGCTTCTTCGCCGAGGTTGCTGGCAGCTGGGGGTCGGAACGTCTATGGTTTCGACCTTCGCTCGGAGAAAGTGATCTTGAAGGATCCACGGACCGCGGGGTGTGCTGCAATGGATCATGATCCCTATCGATTATATCATGGATAAAACAATATATATATATGCTAAATATTATATATATACACATACAGTATACTGTATACATTGGTTTATATTCCCATACGGGATTTTTCAATATCAATGACAATTACACTCCAGTAAATCAGCACCGATATCAACTGTGGCAAACCCACCATTTGTAGATAATTGTCTTATCGAGACCCATGTTTTTTTCATATCTATGTTAGTGTACCCCAGGATACATGATAAAAAGCACCTTCACCTGGGGAAACCAATTAAGACTTGGAAGATTAGGAGGGACCGCAGCCGACATTTCTGATTTGTTGGTTACCTTCCGGAACTTAACATAGGTACCCTCTGGTTATGACTAACATAGCCATGGTATAGATGGCCCATAGAAATAGATGGTTTACATATGAAAAATGGCTGGATTTTCAATAATTACGTTAAATAACCAGAGGGTATATCCATCAAATGGCGCAAGGGAAAAATCATGATATGCTATCAAATTAGGTGGGCATTGTTCAGACAAACCCACATATGGAAAACCTGTGGGTCCCCAAACGAAGAGCCACCCAAAACGATAGGCAAGTTGGTTTAAAACTACTGCGTGAAATTCTGCAAGTTGGATTGCGCAATTTTGCTTCTGCATGCGTTGACAATAAAAGTGGCAGTCCAAGATGCGGCTGTGCAAACTGCTGAAGGGAGAGCTGTGTTGGTGCGACCCTCTGGGTACCTAATTAAAGGTGGAAAAAAACTATAGTTAGGTGGGGTGGGACAGTAAACAACTTACAACTCGGGTCCTACTGTAGGAAATGATCTATAAATGGCGGATATTCCATAGCAAGGTGAATTTGCTGGAAGTTATCACCTGCAATGGTGGCCAAAATAGTGGTGAACCCGTCAAAACGTGATGTTTACGAAGGAAACTTAAGTTAAAGAATCCTTAGAGTTTTTTTAGCCAGAAATGTGAAATTCATTGAAATTCAATATGCAACAAACACAAGGTTTTATCTAATGCAGAAGGGGTCGACACAACCGAACATGGGGACAATTGGAAAAAACAAACTGGTGAATGGTCAGTCGCTAGGTATCAGTTATGGCCCTTTACCAGTTATAAGTACGTGTAACCCCATATATAGAATGTATAACCCCATTTATAGCAACTTCAAACTAATAAATGGCCATAACATGCCATAACTGCATTAGTTTTTGCTCCAATGATTTTCTTCCCACTAAACCATATTTATGGTTGGCAGCTGGATGTCAAAAACTCAGAAACTTCGGGGCTGTAAACAGCACTTTCATGGCATTTCACCCGCCAAATTCTACAATGTCAGGCCCAGTTATGTGAATGTTGGTTTATAAACCCTATGAAAACTCTAGTTATAGGTATCATAAACCATAGTTATTAAGGTTATGTGGCCCCCAACTTAGCTATCATAAATCAGCTATAAATCCCATGAAATCCCCATGTTCCTATGGTTTTTCCTGTGGGACGCCCCTCAATTTTTTGGGGGAGGCATACTCACAGGATCACCAAACGCGATGTAACTCGTCGCTTGTGGATTTTCTGGTGGCTGGTTACCCGGCCTGTTCTAAACGTTGACAAAAAACGATGGAAACACGATGGAAATCAACGAACTGTCTATGGCAATAATGGAAAATCACTATATATTCCCTAACATAGGCCTTATATAGGCCTTATATATGGTAGGTACCTCCAATGTAGGATCCTGAAATTCCCATTGAACCAATGAATAATGGTACAAAGTGGTGCCCCAGTTCGATAGCTAAGTTGGTGCGTTTATAACTTTATAACTCCAATTTCACTAGGACTTATGGTAGATATATCTCTGGTTGATGGGGTTATAAACCAACTTATAACTGGTGGGGTACCACATTGTAACACAATAACTATATATATATGGAAAATCACTGTGCTATTAATGGGTAAATCAACGAACTAAATGGCAATTTTCAATAGCAAACTGTTAGTCATTACCAGAGGGTATATGGAATAAGCCAGTTTGAAGATGATTTATATAAACCACATGAAAAGTTATAATCCCTTTTGACTGTAATTTGATCACCATTTAAGTTAACTATGTTATATGCATTGATCAAAATCCCACTAAATCCAATTCAACCATATTTTTCAATTTTTGCCGCTCAAAATCCAGGAAAAATATCTATGTCAACCAGGTCTCTACAATGTGGGGCCCTGAATTATGAGTTGGTTTATACACCCCTTGAACTCTAGTCAATTTCGAGTTATAAATATCATAAACCGTAGTTATTATTGGAGTTAGTTATTTGCACCAATGTAGCTATCATCAATAAGCTGTGAATTCCATGAAAACCAAAATTTCCTTTGGTTTTCCTATGTTTTTTTCCCATGAAATTCCCATTTTCCCATGAGAGCCGGATGTTTGTTGGTTAAGTCACCATTTTCCTATGGTTTCCTATGGTTTTTCCTCCCCACATAACGGGACGTCTCAAGGAGGTCAGCAGTTCAGCGGAATGCTCCAGGGATGACATTAACCAGGTGACGCGTGACGGCAGGGTACAATGTCGAGCCAGCTCGATAGCCAAGTTGGTCAAACAATGGTTAATAATGGTTGGATGAGGGAAATCATCCCCAAATTGCCGAACTATTCAGGTTAGTGAAATACTATAATTTACCTATGGCTTTTGGATGTGTATGCTTGATTTGTTTCTTCTGTAAACAAACATAACTACTTAGAGGATCATCCCAATAATAAACACCATTAATCACTGGTTGCTAAACCCATCTAGGGAATTACTGATTACTAATCGGGTCACTTAGGAACTGGGTAATAACCTTGCATTTTTAGTAACTCCCCGATTCGGAGTAGCTTTATCTGGTTGGTGGTTTGGAACATTTTTTTCCATATATATATATAGATATATTGGGAATAATCATCCCAACTGACTAATATGTTTCAGAGGTGTTGAAACCACCAAACAGTTATAAACGGCATATTACAACACCATTTACTAAGCAGTTAGCAAGTGAGGCGCTCCTGCAAGTAGTGATTGTGCATCCAAGGTTGGAACCATGGTGAAAGATAGGCTTCTGAATTGGGTATAATCGTATTAAAGTGGTTTGAAATGGATGATTACATTGAATTTGTGTGGTTTATTGTGAAAACAGGGTTTTGTCTGTATATAAAAGGATGAACTAAGCCTGGTCGTATGTTCTTATGAACCAGTATCTGGACATACACACATGAGTTTGCCGGTGTTTTCCCGCGGGTTGATTATTAGGGAGGTGGTTGTTCTAGTTTTTTCTCTTGTTCCGCACAATGATATAAGAGTTTATCAAACAAACAGGAGACCCTAAGTCCAACGAAAAAACTGCCACGTGCTCACAAAAATTGGAAGCATTGGAAAGAGCCGACTGTCAGTAATGTCAACCTCGGATTGGCAAACCGTGGTTTATTAATCCAGGGGGTACCCTCCAAATTGTGGTACCCCCCCCAATTAAACAAATGTTTGGGGTTTATTTATCCAGGCCTTGGAAAGAGCAGACTGTCAGTATAGTTTGTAGCATCAAATTGTGAAACATATGAGCCACATGTTTTTTGCTATCCTGGTTATTATTTTATCTATTTATGTTCTGGTTCCATCTGCAAGAAATGTTTTGGATGATGATACCAAACGACGAGCGTAGCGGCATATGGCTTAGCAACCAAGGTGCTCCATCAACTCTCGTGTTGGTCTCTCATCATGTTGTGGCCCTTAACAGTTATAAATGGGCTTATAATGATATTTAACCTTACTTATAGGAGTTATAATTCCATTTTCTAAATAGCTGTTTAGGGCCAGAACGTAATCAGCATTCTCCGAGCCATTTGGTCGATTTTTTTTGGCGCAAGAACTTGAATCATTTTGACATTGCTTTCAATCGCTTTGCCATGGTTTCTGCAGGCGGCTCGCATACAGTGCTTCTCCGAAGTGATGGCACAGTTGTTGCTTTCGGAGACAATACATGGCGACAATGCGAAATTCCGCCTTTGGATCAAGGCATGTATACCCAGGTTTTGGCCGGTCCCTGGTACTACGTTCGGGGTTTTTGTGCCCTGTGTGTGGATTGGGTGAGGGCACTGACTTGTTTAGTGCCTGTCCTTACGTGCGCTGCACCCAGATTTCTGCAGGGTGGAGACATACAGTGCTTCTGCGAAATGATGGCACTGCTGTTGCTTGCGGGGAAAATGGAGTTCGACAATGCGACATTCCAACTTTGGCTGATGGCATGTCATACACCCAAGCTTGAATGATTGCAACCTGCAGAAGCTTGGGTGTACCTAAGCTTCAGCGGGTTGCAATCATTCAGTCCTTCTCCGAAGTGATGGCGTTACCATAACTTGTGGACAAAATTTCAGTGGAGAATTTGATATTCCACCTTTGAATGCAGGTATATCATATTATATCATATATATCATATACTCAGGTTTCAGCAGGTGGCTCGCATACAGTGCTTCTCCGAAGTGATGGCACAGTTGTTGCTTTCGGAGACAATACATGGCAACAATGCGAAATTCCGCCTTTGGATCAAGGCATGTATACCCAGGTTTTGGCGGGTCCCTGGTACTACGTTCGGGGCTTTTGTGCCCTGTGGATTGGGTGAGGGCACTGACTTGTTTAGTGCCTGTCCTTACGTGCGCTGCACCCAGATTTCTGCAGGGTGGAGACATACAGTGCTTCTGCGAAATGATGGCACTGCTGTTGCTTGCGGGGAAAATGGAGTTCGACAATGCGACATTCCAACTTTGGCTGATGGCATGTCATACACCCAAGCTTGAATGATTGCAACCTGCAGAAGCTTGGGTGTACCTAAGCTTCAGCAGGTTGCGATCATTCAGTCCTTCTCCGAAGTGATGGCGCTACCATAACTTGTGGACACAATTTCAGTGGAGAATTTAATATTCCACCTTTGAATGCAGGTATATCATATCATATACTCAGGTTTCAGCAGGCGGCTGGCATACAGTGCTTCTCCTATGTAATGGCACTTATGGCACTATGGTGGCTTTTGGACACCGAGCTAGAGAATGCAACGTTCCACCTTTGGGTGAAGGCATATCATACATGTTTCTGCAGGTGCGGAACACCCAGCTGTCGCTACATTTGCTGCGACAACAAAGTGCAGGTTCAGACTCCTGTCCGCGTTTTGCAGAGTGTCTTTGGGGTGGCACATGTAGCCTGACATGCTGGAGTTTGGCAGGGCATGAAGTGCTATGCTTTGCAGCCTGTGCATCAGACCTAGCTGTGGATATTCAGAAGCAGATTGCCGAGAAGTTGGATGAAAACCTCCGCATTCGTGTGGTTTCTCCTGATGGACACTTGCCTAGATTTTCTGAACAAGGTTTTTATTTTCCCACTGGTCAATCATGGTAAATCCACCATTGGAGGAATCTACTACAGTTATGGCCCGAAATACCAGTTATAAGTACTAACAAAACCCCATTTATAGATTGTATACTCCCATAGAAATAACAATGTTATAACAAATACATGGCCAAAACTTCAGCTCCAATAACTATGGTTTATGGTACTTATAACTATAGTTACTGGTGCTTATAAACCAACCAACAAACATCACTGAGGGGCCTCACATTGCGGTTATTAATCATCATTAACCATATAATAACCACATCTTAAC